TAGGTGAAGTGCGATCTCTGCTCCTTGCCTGGCTGTACCTTAGCAGTGAATCGTAGGCAGTTTCTTCTTCCCCTCACTATTGAACCAATTAAACCATTAAAATTCAATAAACGTTTTCTGAACCTGACCTTTGCCCCGATAAAACATACTCGAGCGCTGAAATGTACAGTTCCGATTGGCATTCCTTTCGTTCTTCCCGAAATGTCAATACATTTGGTTGTTCCTTGAAGGTATGGCTCCTTATCCAGCATTTTGAGCAAGCATGCTATGTCTGGTGGGCCTAGCCCACTTGCTAGGCCCACTGGATACTTGCTAGGTGCAACGAATACTGAAATGCCTCACCTGTTCCCTTAAACCAAAAACCGATAGGAAAATTTTTCGCTTTCACTCTGGAATAAACTAGTAAATAATGTTTTGATTACATTTTGTTCCACCCAAAATATATATATCTTTATTTTTTACGTTTTGACACTCTGCGTACATCAACAACACAGATCGAAGCATGTGCTCTCCGTTTGGCTTCAGTGACCTATCTGGTCCCACTCCCACGTCTGGAACCCGTTTGCTCGGGGCATCGTTTATGGGCGGTGGGAGGGCTGACTGCCCTGGCATGCAGCCGGTGATTGATGACTCTCCTCTAAGCGGCGACATCTGCTCCGCCATCACGCAGCTGTCGAGTTTGTTTGTTAGGCCGTCTCATTGTCGAAGGGGTGGTTGATCTGGGGTTGTACAACCGCTGCGCAGGAAGGCTGCCCTAGATGGCATAGGGCCAATTTATGCCGGTCATAAACCTGATATGGCGGGGGCACTGCGGCGCACGGTGTGTGATGTTTGACTCCCTTCCTGTGAGAATGCTTTGTTCCTTTTATTTGAATAATAATAGTAATAATAATAATAATTTTACAAACAGCAGCTACAGCATTATGAACACTGGAGACAGGGGAAACACAAAAAACCTTTCATGCTCTGCGCTGTTCATAATTTTTGTTTCCCTCTTTTGAATTCACCCCCTTGGGAAGAACGGGTACCCCCTGCCGGAGACTTGGTTTGAGGATTCTTTGGGCGGAAACTCGAGGGAACAAAGGGCGTCATTAGGAAGGGGCAGGGAGAAGTTCTTTAGTATAAGCTTTGGGGCAAAAGCCACGATGGTCACAAAAGCGATGTTTCAGGAGCTAAATCTATGTCACAAACCTCAGTGGTCACAAAAGCGATGTTTCAGGGCCTCGGTCTACGTCGTAAGCTGTTATGGTTGCAAAAGCGATGTTTCAGGAGCTCAATTTAAGTCGGAAGCCACAGTGGTGACAAAAGCAATGTTTCAAGATCTCGGTCTATGTCGCAAGCTGTAATGGTTGCAAAAGCGACGTTTTAGGAGCTCAATCTAAGTCAGAAGCCACAGTGGTCACAAAAGCAATGTTTCAGGACCTCAATCTAAGTCAGAAGCCACAGTGGTCACAAAAGCTATGTTTGAGGATCTCGGTGTACGTCGCAAGCTGTGTAATTGTTGCAAAAGCAATGTTTCAGGAGCTCAATCTAAGTCAGAAGCCACAGTGATCGCAAAGGCGATGTTTCAGGAGCTAAATCTATGTCACAAACCTCAGTGGTCACAAAAGCGATGTTTCAGGGCCTCGGTCTACGTCGTAAGCTGTTATGGTTGCAAAAGCGATGTTTCAGGAGCTCAATTTAAGTCAGAAGCCACAGTGGTGACAAAAGCAATGTTTCAAGATCTCGGTCTATGTCGCAAGCTGTAATGGTTGCAAAAGCGACGTTTTAGGAGCTCAATCTAAGTCAGAAGCCACAGTGGTCACAAAAGCAATGTTTCAGGACCTCAATCTAAGTCAGAAGCCACAGTGGTCACAAAAGCTATGTTTGAGGATCTCGGTGTACGTCGCAAGCTGTGTAATTGTTGCAAAAGCAATGTTTCAGGAGCTCAATCTAAGTCAGAAGCCACAGTGATCGCAAAGGCGATGTTTTAGGAGCTTAATCTAGGTCACAAACCGCAGTGGTCATAAAAGTGATATTTCAGAATCTCGGTCTGTGTCGCAAGTCATAATGGTCGCAAAAGCAATGTTTCAGGATCTCAATCTAGGTCTTGAGCCACAATTGTCACATAAGCAATGGTTCAGGAGCAGTGCTGCTTAAAGGGGTACTCCGCCGATTTTTGAGCTACCTCAACTAACTATACTTTCTGACTCCCAGGCCTTTACCCGTTCTGGAATGCTATTTAATATCGTGAAATTCATAATAGTTATTGCGAAATCGGCAAATGAAAATGATGCAAAAACAGACATTCAAATATACCCGCCCTTTTCAGGGCCATGACGTCAGTGGAAGTTCAGCTTGCCAGTCGGGCGAGCAGTCTAAAAAATAGAATATGCCAATTATTTGTTCCGTGCTGGAGCGCGGGGACTGGAGCGAGCTTCCAAGGCATTCATTTGACACCATGAAACTGCTTCAAATCAGTTGGGAACAAATTCTACAGTCCAAAGAGTGAACCCCTGCACTTCCAATGACGTCACTTTTTCATTGTTGCCAGTAGAGACTTTCAGTTTGAAAAACACGGTGAGGACCAAAATTGTAAATTCAATAACTTCGTGAAAAAAAATTATTTTGACCTAATATTTGGGATACTATTTTGGCGATGTTGTTTGGCGAGTTTACCAAAATTTCAAGCAAATCGGGGACCATGAAGAAATCGGCGGAGTACCCCTTTAATAGAGCTGACAGGATCTAGCTTTGTTGCTCGGAGGAACGTTTGCGCCTGCTCATGAATCATGCCACGCCCACTCAACTTCACACCGAAAACTCTCAAACCGGCAATTTGGAAATTGGTGGATTGTATTTTCCATGTGATCTCGCATTAATTTGGTATCGCCATGTTTTGGCTATCCTTACAAGCTTTGCTTGGTTAAAAAGCTTGTGTCATTGATTTTACTCTTTGAATCATAGTATCTTTCTATATATAATTTTACATATATGTTTGTAATGAATAACTAATTAGTTCATTGTAGAACTAATCAATCTTGGGCAGTATTGTGTTACTGTAACTTTGTTACTTTTTTGGTCACTTGTAACTGTAACGAGTTACTTTTAAGAAATGTAACTTGTAACTGTAGTTCTATTACTTTTTTCTGAGGTAACGATGAAGTAACGACGTTACTTTTGTCGTTACTTTCCAGTTTTTTTATGAATAATATATCATTGAACGAGTACAATATAGCTATTTCTTGCACTTTCCGAATTGCCTCTTTTGACATTGCGAGTGTCAAGTTGGCCTTGAACAAACTTGTGAACACATTCTTCCTTGCGAGTCATGGCCCGAATATAGCCGTGTGTAGATGGGATAATAAAAAATGTAGTTATGTTTTGCACGCGTTTCTACTTTGTGGCAGAACACTTACATCTTAGTATATCTTAAAGCTTTCTCTTTGTTGCGGTTTTTTTTTTTTTTTTTTTTGTGCGAACGCTTTTTAATTGGGTGAATCAACCGTGAAACAACATTACACACGGAGGGCACTGCAAATGTTTCGTAATTTTATTAGCGCCACTACTTCGCACTGCGCATGTTTCGTATTTCGATTTGCGCCACTACTCCGGCGTGGTGCAACAGTCGAGGCAAAATTTACTGCTGTTTGCGCGGGGCCTGTTCAGCAAGGGCAGGGACGTGCTCGCCATCAAACGAGGGAAACTTTCAGCCACTATTTACAAAAAGCAACTGCTGCAAAGTTGCAATATAAACTAAAAAGCATGCTTTTTAGTTTTATGCAATAAAACTTGGTGAGGGCCGTTTCCTAGAAAATTAACATCGTTACTTTTAAAAGTAACTAACGAGTTACTTTTTGTTGCAGTAACTGTAACGGTAACTTTGCTACTTTTTAACGAAAGTAACTAACTAATGAATTACTTTTTAAAAGTAACTTACCCAAGACTGAAACTAATTAGTGCATTAGTTCAACTAATTCACAGGAGATTGTTGCAGTATTGCTTTGCTCTACAGGGTGTTTCTTTTTAAGTGTAAATGATTTGTTTAAAAAAAGCCGTGAAAGGTGCACCTATGCGGTTTGTGCAGGTGAGTTATATGGCCAGGGGGACATCGTAACGATCAATTAGCTAATTCATTAAAATTTGTAATTAACTTTTTAATTATTGATAATAGACATATGGTTCTGATGAAAACTTGCTGAGTGTCGTCGAAAACCACTAAGTCAACTCTAGCGTCGACTGTCTGCAAAGTCTCCGTCTTTCTGCCCGCTTTCCTTGCGACACGAATACGGGGCGCACGCATGCTTCCGACCAATCAGGAGGCGTCCGCCATTATGTTGCAAGCACTCCCCGTGGTTTGGGGTGGACTCTCCCTATAATCTAGGCTCTCTAAATCGGTATGCCGAAAGCAACGCCCTTGCACTCCAGAGCTAAAGAAAAAAAATGCCAACAAAAATGGGCAGATTGGGCAGTTCATCTCACCCTGTAGCGGTATCATTTGGCTGTAAATGGAAACACAACCCCTCACATTTTGTTTTATTATTATTTCTTGCCCGCTTTGTTTTATTTAGAACCCGATTTTCAAATAGTTAACCAATCTTTGCCAATCTGGCACTGCTGCCAGCTTCCAGACGGTACCACGGTGACAGTGACGCACGAGGCACAAAGGGTGGAGGAACGTTGAAAGCTGAGCTAGTTGGTAGTCGTTATACACGGTGAACAAAAAGGGCGCAAAGGACAAGGACAAAAGAAGGAACATATACAACACGACAGGCGCTGACTCGCAACTACTAGTTTTTTACTTGTAGTAATGAAGGAAAAAAACATTGTGTATGTACCTTCTTCTGTCCTTGTCCTTTGCACTGTTTTTGTTCACCATGTAGAAGGGTGGAACTGCTCTCAGCCACTGGGAGGAACGAGCAATCGCCATTCCCACCCTTCCGACCCACCCGGCACCACACGAGCGGCGTGCAGCCGCGCGCATGCAGACGATCCGCCTCAGTGTCCTTTCCTGCCCGCAGGATACAACGAGGACAACATGATTGCCGGCGGGATAAAGATAGACGGCTCCTGGGAGCTGCACATCTACGTGACTGACCTCAAGATTGAGCGCAAGCTGCGTGTCAAGGGTGACACGCACATCGGCGGCGTCATGCTCAACCTCGTCGAGTCTCTCAGTGAGTATGCACTCCCTGATGGAACAGTCGCTTCCGTCCGCCGACAAAATGGAGGTCGGCTTTGCGGTGGTTCAGATGACCTTTAGTAATAAGGGCCGGTTCAGAGATTTGCGTTTGAGTGTGCTTGATCGCGTCGCAACGGCTCGTATCCTCGTACGATGAAAGAGCACACTTGCACTATTTATCGGGTAGCCCTGAAACCCTTCAGATCCCTGCATATTTAGTCCTTTTGTAAGCTTCATTCTTTAACTGTGGGCTTGAAATTATTTGTGACAATGTTATAAGTAGGGTTCTGTGTTTTTGGGGTTTGTCTCTCTTTGAATTCGGGGGTGTTTTTTCGGGGTTTATTTTTTTCCTAGAGGTTCTGTGTTTTTCGGTGTCAATTTCTTGTGTCGGTCAAGAAATCGGTGTTTGTCGGGCCTTACGCCGAAGAAACAAAACGGGCATGGAATTTCCCACCCTCCAGAGTACATGCTCCTTACCTAAATACTTGAAAACGTCCCAGTACTAAAAGAAGGAAACGAGAAAAGGGGTTTGTTCCCGAAGAAAGAAGTAACCTCGCGAACAATTCAGTGCGGCTGTGTTCAGGGCAAGCTCGAAATGAAATCGTAGCTAGAGATTTTTGCCTGGGAAACTTGGGTGCCTCCTCAGTAAAGGAAAGCATTCAGGGTTTTTCGGTTTTCCCTGATTTTGATAAAACTTCCTCGAGGGTTAATATTCGTGGTTTATCGGCACCGAAAACACGGAACCCTAGTTAGGAGTTATCATTTCTCGCAGGTAGTGCATAGATTTGATCTCTCAATGTACCGCGGAACCCAATCATATGCAGGTCAGAATGTTCCCAGGACGACCTGAAAGACGGCTCCAGTGTGCGAATGTGTTCACTCGTGGTAAGCGGTCACAAGTTGTCGTAATGCAGTCCGTCAAACTCAAATGCAAATGTGTGAACAAGCTTTGTTGCATACGTGCTCATAAAGGAGACACTGAAGAAGAGCAGAAGAGGCAGTGTACGCGGTGTAAAGAAAATAGTGTCCAGGCCACAGAGAAGATGCCAGGAGGCGTAAAAAAACACGGCGGTAAATGTCAGGGACGCCGAAAGACGGGTCATCTCCCGTCGCAATGACTCGACACCTCATTATCTCGACAAGACATGGTTGGAAAGTGCGGCTTCTTTTTGTCGCTTTCCTTTTATTCCTACTTGTTCTATGTTGGCTTTTCCGCCCTGGGCCCTCAAACATGACACCGGTACCACCTAAAGGCAACAGTGGCAGACGTTTCCTCTCGGGGCCCTCAGGGGCCCTCGTACTACACCTTTTCTTCATTGTTGTTTGGCTCTCATATTTTTTTACGTTAGGTGAGAAAAGATTTTGATGACAGCCTGCTCCCCTCCTCTGTTGGGAAGAAAGATGGCCGGCTCTATTTTGGTGGGGGGAGGGAGGCGAGGGGAAGCCCCCCTCGAAGGAGGGACCGACGATTCTCAGCTGTTGTGTCTCATCGTCTGCTTGCGAGGTCGACTGGGTTCTAGGCTTGCGACGAAGGTGGCGGCTGGCGCCGCTGGCCGACCTTTTTTTGACGCCACCCCCTCTGGCAGAGGATGCGGAAACCAGAGCAGAGGCCTCAAATCATTTTTAGACATCAATAAAGATTTTTTAATTAATCAATCAATAAATCAGTCTATGCCAACCTTATGTTTAGAAGCGTTCGGGACTGGTTATCGTGTTGACAGTTTACAAAGATCTGGTTAAATGAAGTTTAGGTGGGAGTCTTTCCTCTGAGTTGTTTCTGAGGAATGATGCAGCTTTATTTGCGCTAATGGTCAAATTTTGATGTGATCATATTCATATTATACTTGTACTGCATTTTGCTTAGTTTGGGAAGCATTAAAAAATGGTAAGCAGTATCACGCTGTTGTTACCTTTTATTGCTTTAAAGGTTTTGTTGTAGTGTACCATTTTCATGGAGTGAGATCCTATTGTGTTATGCTTTTCAATTTCTTCATATATTTCATATTCACATTGGTGCCAGAGTCATTGTATCTAGATGGGAGAAGTTCTAGTAATCTGGGCAGCACATACAAAAATCAGAAAAGCTGTATGTTCATGTGCCAGGCACTCATTCTAGCTCACAAACCATATATACTTAATGAGATTTTTTAGAGCTTTACTATACTCTAATGACAACTTAAGACATAGCAAAAAACTCAAACTCCATCAGAACCTAGCCCTGACCGTCTGAGCAAAATTCCAAAGTTTTAGCACCAACCGTTATCTTATTACAAAGTTGTAGCAGTTTTCTGAAAATTGCAATGGAAAAAAGGCGGTTGACAGAGCTCTCAAATACATGAAGCTCTATGGTGCCAGAAACTGAAAACGGACAAAAATGGGCCCCATTTCCTCATTGAAAATTTCAGAAAATCATTTATAGCTTTTGAATAAGACAACGGTTAATGCTAAAACTTTGGCGTCTTGCTCGAACGACTGGAGCTGCACTCTGACGGAGTTTGAGCTCTCCGCGATGTCTAGTTTATTTTTGCAGTACGAAAAACAGGGTTCGGTCTTCTCGCAAACGCCCGTCCAAGAAGATGTAAGATTTTGCAAATACTAAAATGTAAAAAAGAAAAGAGGGGGGAGTAAATGGAATGGTGCGTTATCTTTTACAGAATGACATTATTTTGGCTTGCACCCTCTCGAGATTGCTTAGGCACTCGGGTACTTTATACGAATGTGATGACAGGCTTACTTTACATGATACATATCTTGGTCTCTTCTGTACGGTTCCTGGAGATGTTTGCAATAGATACAACCTAAGGGTAAAAGTAATTAGGATTATCAGCTTAGACTGATTTCTCATACTATGAAGTCTGCCTTACCAGGAAAGGAACATGTGGGGCAGTAGTCACTTGCAACTCGCTCTAAATTGGCCATCCTTGTGTTTTCCATCCACATTAAAAGCTTTGTTAAGAACTACTGAAAAGAGGTACCAAACATGCGCTTTAATTCACACCATTGGATCAAACATAGCAGCTGCAAACGCCTTCCGACAGCAGAAAGTGTCAAGGATTCGAAGCACGCGCCCCTCAAATTCCTCTGCGAGCATTTGCGAGATACCTAACACGCAACACCACTAAGCAATCCACCGGTACCCGTGGAAGGAGTTATGACAGCCTCGGCGTAACGGGCCACGCAATGGCTGCCCCACCAGACATTTCTGTCTCCCGCTCCCCTTCCCTTTCCGTTATACTACGTTCACCTCGGAGCGCTCGTTTCCGCAGGCGCCGCCACGCACGCACGGTGTCGCGCCGGCACCCACTTCCCAGTTTAGAACCCGGCGTGGGGACCTCGCGTCTGAACTAACGCACAAACGGGACACACACACCGGCGCGGATTAAGGCAACTGGGGCTCTGTGGCTTTGGCAGCAGTCCTGTGGAGCTTACCTCCCCTCTCTCTCTCTCTCCACCCTTTCCTCTAAGTAGGGGTGTTCGAGGGAGAGGGGGAGGTGTCCTAAATTTAGGGTGTCCCCTTGGTCCCGTTATATAAACGCGGGCTCCCGGCTGCCAAAAGGGCCATCCGAGATATTGAAGCGGAGGGTGGGGAATTTGTGAATTTGGCGGCTCTGGCTGCGTTGGAGCTGTTTGTGTTTGGGGGTGAGGGGGGAGGTAGGAGTTGTTCGATTTAACTGTGTAAACGGGAATGAGAGGAAGGACGGGCGAAATGTGTTTCGGCACGTCGTGACGACTGTTGGAGGTTGTTGGCGGGGCCCGAAAAAGGTTAAGGTCGGGGGTGTGACAGGGTGCCGCTTCCGCTTGGTTTTTGCGTCTGTCCATTTGTTGCTCCGGGAGCATCGGTTTGATTTATGGGTTTTGTTTGCTTTCGTGGGATGCTCCAATGCTTTCAGTGGCTATTGTAAGTTCTAAAGTTTATTGTGACGGTCATGACGGTGCCTGAAGGATACTGCACGAGACGGCCGTCACCACGGTTGCGATCGATAGAATTGCGCGAGACATTGGGCAAGAGACATTGATGGGCAGGGAGCGATGCAGCATGGACAGTGCTAATAAAAGTGTGGCAGTAATAATTGAGACTCTTACATCCTAAAGCATGGCTAATCGTGAGGAAAATTATTGAAGCAGTTTGTGATATGTGCAAAAACAAATGTGATGATTTCAGTGTGAAATGGACGTTCCCATTGGTAATCTGACAAACTGGCAGCCATTTGTTTGCTCTGCGTCTTAAAACGTTTTACCTGCCAGGTCTCTGGTGGTCTTATGTTTACAATGATGGGTCAAGCAAAAATACATTCTGTAACCATTTGCATTTTTAAGTTGTTGAGAATATGCCTTCTTACAGTTTCTTACATTGGATAGAAACTGTATGCCTTAGCCTGACAGGGAAATTTTAAGGAACTATGTATTAGTACAGAAAAAAAGTGAGCAAAGAAAGTATGAAAGAGGAAATTGGCACTAAAGCAGCTGAGGCTTTATTGCAAACTGAAGCATTAAGGTGCATGATCAAAGTATCCCAGGGGCCATTATTACGAGAACAAAATTTAAAATTTTTAAAGCTTTCGTAATTTTGCTCGTTTTCGCAAAGCATATTGTACAAAGCAATTTTGTTATGCAGTCACGTGTTAATCTTGTTAAATTGGAAAGAGGTCGGAAAGGGAGACAAATATCTCTGATGGAACACAGTGGCAATGCACAATATGTTACATTATTGGAGCAGTGCCTCGCCAATTAAATATATGGGAAACTAGGAAAGAAGACCACTACATTCATGACAATGTTGTGAGACTCTAGGACACCTTCACCCATTGTAAAAAGAAATCAGTCGCCTTCCTTCGGAACTTAACCAAGCAGTTGAAGTTTCTCCAGCTTGAAAAACAGTTTTTTTTTCTGTTCATCTCTACCCCTTATAGAGAACGCTACCCCTTGAGAGTGTGAAGCTGTTCTTGGCATTTCGTTATTCAATGTCGACGAAGATGTAAGAACATTGGGAGGGCCGACCACCCTCGGAACTGGTATTCCAAGAGCCGGCGCATGCGTAGGATCTTCTTAAAGTTCCCCCTTGCAGCAGCGGCAAAGAGGTACCGGGCCCATAGTTTCCGCAGATCGTGGCTGCTAGCCACACTGCACTATCCTCGTGTTCTGAGAGCATGCACAACTAGAGCTTATGAGAGCTGCAGTCTACTACAGTGATCTATGAGACAACACCTAAAAACTAGTTGCGACATTCACGTTTTGAGAGCTGCTGACTGCAGTATGACTCCTTGCATTTCAGTGCAACATGGGTTCCCAAACTAGGTTCCTAGGAAGCTAGGGGTTTTTCCCAATAACCCTTAAGGGGTTCACTGAGCTCTCAAATTTCCTTGACCACCAAACGTCTTAAAGGGGCAATGCAACAATATTAACTTTGAAAAAAATCTGCATTTTTAAATTTTTATATTGTTTATCTTACCAAAAAGAACGGAGAAACCGCCTCATTCTTTTGAAATATTGCGATTCTATTGCATAACAGCAAAGAAAAGAATGGGAATGTTTTGCGATTCGCAGCTGCGCGGTGGCAGCCACGGGAACTAAGGCGCGACGCGCAATCGGTATAATGTAATAGGTTTGCAAAATGTGCCGTGATCTGCTTAATTTAATGCCATATTTGATAAATATTGCTGTTTCAACACTAGTAAATACTTCGAAAATCCCATGTCATCGACAAAGTTGTACTATATTCAGTTTTAGTGGCGCCATATGTCTGAGGTGAAAGAAACTATTCCTCCCTTGAGCCTCACCTCAGTGTGCTACTAGGCGAGTCGAACTGCCTTACAAAAAGGCAAGCTCTTTGTGCCTCCCCCCTCCTCCCCCTCCTCCCTCCTCCCCACTCAGAGTTGCTCAGAGTCTCAGTCCAACCTTCAAGGTCGCCGTGTGAATCTTAAGCAGAAGCCGCGCGCCGCGCTAAAGGCTCTGAAAGAGATCCCAACCGGCTACTCTCTATTCCCATTGCGCCTCACTGTGCACCTGACTCGGAAGAAGGTGCAAGAGTTGAGGGTGGCTTGGAGGCGCCCAAAACGTCAATTGTTCTACTTTTTTTCTTCTAAAGAACTAACACACGTTGGCAAAATTTCTTTTCAGTTCTTTAATCCATACATGATAGGGAACAACTACCAAAATTATTCGACCCAAGTCCAATCATTGTTGCATGTCCGCTTTAAGTACAGAGTTCTTCCAGTGAAGGCACTATTTTTGAAAATCTGAGCCACCCATTAATCTTGAGACCAGGTGGAGTTTCTCGGTTGTCATTCAAGAGAGATAGGCCTTCCTCGAGATTGAGAGGTTTGAGAACTCCTGAACTACAACTTGTTGCGCAGACTTTGGTTGCCATAGCAACTCTCTTGCCACGAGCAGTTGTATGCAGTCTGGCACACTAAAATGCCGACGTCCGAACCACCCTTTCCACTGCTGTTCCAAGTGGTGAAGGGAAGCCTAGAAGACATTATTTGCATGTGCTCATTCACATGGCTACCTCTCTAAGGGATACCTGTAGCCAGCAATGTAGCCAGGAGTTTCTTTTTTTGGGGGAGGGGTGTTGGCGCTATGCATATGCGTAGCGCCAAGTGCCCCAATTACATTTGGGGGCCTGGCGCCACACCCCTGCTTTTAGCTGTCGTCTCTGCTCCGATTCGATGGCACTGAATCGACACGATTAAAAAAAAAATTGGGGGTTGTGGGGATATTTACACAGTGTGTAGTTGGTCAGCCATTTAAAGTTGCGACGAGTCACGCGCTGTAGATGAGCAATTTAGCCAGTGCAGTACAACCGCTAGCCTGGGGTCTTTAACGTGCACCACGCAGTAGTGATACACGACCGCACGCCGGTACGATGCCCATCCAGATCGAAACGGGCAGGGGTGGGGCTCGAACCCAGGATCCCTGGGTTCTGCAGCGCGAGCTTTCGTTCCACGCGCGTCGAGCTGGGTGTGCGGTTTAGCCCACTCAGCCACCGATCCCCCGACACGATTCATCTATTTTCACTAACTACCTATGCAAGCAAAAATTAAGAATAAAAAAAATCATACATTCGAAAGCTCATGAAATGATTAGCTGCCCCGTCCTTGACACTCGCGCTCTGCTCTGTCCCGTCCGCCAGACGTTCCGACGGACTGGTCGGACCACGCCCTGTGGTGGCCAGAGCAGAACACATGGCTCACCCGCACCAAGTCCACGCTGGACCAGTGCGGGGTCATGGCCGACGCCCTGCTTCACTTTACGCCGATGCACAAGACCCTGCGCATCCAGTTCCCGGACCTGAGGATCATGGACGTGCGGACCGACTTCTCCGTCAAGACCTTCTCCTCTGTCGTCAAGGTCTGCAAGGAGCTCGGTGAGTGGATCCGCTTACGCGCTGCCCGCGCTTTGAGCCACAAGCACGCCGTTCGTGCATCGCACGAAGGACATGGCGTTCGCTGCAGACATGATAACAGAAATGTTTGCAGACCGTCTTTTGTACAATGTATTACCAGTGCAACCGCGGATTCAGCTTCTAGGGAAAATGGTGGAATCCCTGCCGAGCCCCAGGAAAATTCTGGGACGTGCGGTTGGATCTGAGTTCGTACCAAACGCTGAGGCGGCGCTCGCGTCGAATGCATCTCAGAGTGCGCGCCAAAAGTCGGTATATTCAGCTCATATCTGCCTTCAGCACAAAAGGAGTTAGAGAAGGCGAGAAAGCAAGGGACCTCGGGAGGTTATGTTGCGGATGCTTTCGAGCATGGCAGCTCTTCCAGGTCCGCACTTAATGCTTACATTGAGTCTATTTGTGAGACTAGTGGGCACGTACGCTAGTCACACGTGCCAGATTCTAGCAACGGAGTTGTCGTGGTGCCCAGAGCACGTCCCCGACTGGCGTGTCTGCCACACCATTAAAGGCGATCGCAATCCCTCGATTTCCTTTTGACAGCATTGCAGAAGTGTCGGGCTGTCTTGCTTGCCGCGATCCCAGCAGTGGCAGACAAGCGGAGGTGGGCGCAGCAGACGGCCGTTCTACTGCGGTCTGCTCTCCAGCTTGGCGGCACACGGAAGCTTCGGCGACCGGGAGCAGGAACGCCGCGACGGCGGCGACCCTCCTTGCGTTCATTCACCTTTTCGGCCGGAACTTGTACAATGAACCACCAGGATCGTGACATCCGACAGCGCGGCAGGTTGGCTTCTGCGAGGTCACTCGTTGACACTTCGGGACCACTCTACATGCACGGGGGGGCGTCGGGCACTAGACAGACCGGTCAAAGTTGCGTTTCTTGCACCGTTGCCGTCGTCTCGGATTTTAGTTCTTGCATTGCACGACCCTTCCGAACGGAGTGACGAAGAGCGTGCCCCTCGGTTTGACAGGCATCCGGCACCCCGAGGAGCTGTCCTTCTGCCGCCCCCTGGTGGGGGAGCACCTCAAGCGCAACTACCGGGCGGTGGGCTGCAGTCCCCGGCAGAGGCCCAAGGAGGGCACGGACAGCATCAACCTCAACCGCAGCAAGGCCGGCGACAGCAACGGGACCCTGGACGGACCCCTCGCCGCCCCCCTCAACTCGGTGGGTCAACAGACCGAATGCGCGGCAAACATACGACGTGGACATCCGTGGTGGAATCGGTTACGAAGCATTTGAAATACTGTAATTGATTACAGTTCTACTAACTACCATATTTTCCAGTTTGTAAGACGCACCCCCCTGTAAATGGCTCTTTTTATGAGAAAAGTTTGTATATAAGTCGCACCTCACACAGTTACAAGAATGGAACCAGCTCGTCGATTTGATTTCTACAATCACTGACCCTCACCTGTTCCAAAACACTATCACTATCCACTTTTTTCGATGATCCATAAACTGTTTGATTGTTTGTTCATTGTTATATTACTAATATTGTTCACTTGTTACAGTTTTACTTCCCATTTTGTGTACCTGCTCTTCCTTTGCCTTCGGGCTTTGAGGGCATGCACGACGAATAAATAAATAAATAAATATGTGACATATACTTACAAAATGCTGCGAAAAATAACAAGTTAAAGTCCATACTTGTAAAAAAAAAAAAAAAATGGACACATGTCGCACTGTTCTGCTAGACACACCGTCAAAAATTTGAGGAAAACAAAAGTTACTTATATGACGGAAAATGCGTTAAATACTACACATGTTCTAATGAAATTTCAGTAAAGGCTGGATTGCACATTTACGTTTGAGTGTGCTGTGCCTGCTTGTGATGGCTTACAATGAGATGACACACCGGCGCCACCAATCGGGTAGCCCTGGAACCCTTCCAATCATCGGATATATTTTAAAACTTTTCAGGCATCATTCTTCCACCGTGGATTGAAGTAATTTGGACACAGTCATTAAGCGACCGTCTCTCACGGCTAGTGCACAGATTTGATCTCACAGACACTGCAATGCCTTCAGTATAGCTATCCCGGAAGTTGTTCCAGGGCTACTGGGCAGGCGCCGCCACTGTCGGTCGCACTCAAACACAAACGTGTGAAGTGGCCTTTGTAGCACGGGCTCCCAAACTGCGTTCCCCGAGCTCCCAAATTTCCTCGCCCATCCCCGTCGCCGAAGCTTTTCATTGGTTCCTAACTACGAGCCAAACACGCCCTGTATTATTGTATATGGGGTATGTGGCCTCCTCTACTGCTTTATTGATCTAATGCCGCAGCCAGGAGGGGTTTCTCGGCTGCCATTTGAGGCATACAGGGGCTCCTCAAGATCAAAGAGTTTGAGAATACTGGCTTCGTAGGATCGCAGCTGATCGTATCCGGCGCTCGTTGCAGAGCACCACGACCCACTGGAACACGACGATGGCACACAACGGGACGCTGCCGGGCCTGAATGGGAGCTTCCTGTCCCCAGACGGCAGCTTCCTGTCCCAGTACGAATTGCCCCTGGCCCAGAGCCCCAACCGGCCGGCCCAGGAGATCAAGGCGGCCCTGCTCCGGCCAAAGACCCTCGTGGAACGGGCACGCCTCAATGCAGGGTGCGTGGCGCTCCTTCACCATTCCTGTTTTCAGTGTTCACAGGGTGTTGTTTGAGCTGGCTCAGAATTTTCAATGAAAAGGAAACTTGTATACTGTAAAGTTTCGAGAGAACGCCCGCCCCCGAGAGATTGCCCATCCCGTTTTTCTGGCTAAATATCTGTAACATAAAAATTTGGAAACATTGCCGACCCATTGATTCTTGTCGGACGTCACGCGATGTGCGACGGGAATCACATCAATGTGCATTTCGCTGTACTGGCACGTCTGACAAGCAAGTTCATAGCGGGTTCTTGTGTTTCTGTCCGCGATCTGCTTGTGCGATATCGGCTCCAGTAACGCGCGAGTTGTTTCCACATGTATGTTGTACCGTGAAATGCGAATCTGCTGCGTCCGCAGTATGCGTTCCCTTGACATAAAGTTTATAGCAGATTCCCGCGTTTTTGTTTGCGATTTGCGTGGCGATCTCGATCCCACGCAAGTTGGTCTCACATGTATATTGCATCGTGAAATATGATTCTGCGGTATTTGTTCTAGTAACGTACAGGTTTGTAGCAGATTCCCATTTTTTTGTCCGCAATCTGTGCTTGCGATTCACTTTCCGTGACAGGCAAGTTTGTGGTGCCTGAACAAAAGTTTGCATTCAAACGTGAAGAAACTTCGTTCGTTAGCTTTTTAAGCCACCGAGGAATAACAGTATATCATTTTCTTGCTAGAGCCTGCCAAATGGAAGGAAAGAATAGAAATTTTGGCGTCGATCCCATGCATTCCACAGAGCGAATTAATGAAAATGGCGGCCCTCCTCGCTCAGCTGGGGGCAGCCGGGAGTTCACGCAGATGCACTCACGCCTCTCGCTCTGCACCATGGGCTGATTGGCTCACTTGGGAGGGAGGCGTTATGGCGGCGAGATCATAGACTGGCCAAACTCTCCCAATACATGGCTCCAAGGGCTCTGCATGTGTTGCTTCCTCGTAGCGCACAGGTGCCGAGTGAGAAGTGTACTCAACGGAGCCAACCCTCGATGAGTATGCAAGAGTACATGTTAGGCAGCGATGTCGGGACAACCTACATTCATCATTTGTGCTTGTTTTTTCTGGTCAGATTTTAAATGCGGAGTTTTGGCATGTATGGATAACAAGGAACACTCTCACAAAGTCTTGTCTATGTGCACTGACAAACAATGTCAAAAATACATAATTACTATTCTTTATATGCTGGTGAGGCGTGGTACACTGCGTAGCACTCGTCATCCAAAAGTGAAAATAGCTGAAAGCAGTGTCGGTATATCAGAAGAAGTTTGAGGAAGACATCACCTCACTGCTGGAAAGAATTGCTGACATTTAAGATGCAAAAATAATTTTTTTAAACGTCATCTTGAAACTTCAAGTGCATATATCTCAGCTTCACTTTTTGGCAGCAATTCCCACTTTAATAAAATGATTGTTTCAGTATGAAACTGCCGAGAGACGTAATATTTGCGGATTATATGCCAAAATTTTATCGAGCCAGTTACTATGAACTGAGATTTTGCATTTTCATGTTCCTTTATTATGAAAAATTGTAATTTGCAAAACTTGGCAAATGTAAAAAAAATAATTTCATCAATTTTCTTTTACCTGAAAGCTGTATATTTTTTTTATTTTGTTCATAGTAACTGGCAACAAGTATTTCAGTATGCATTCCACCAGAAAAATATGTGGTGATCAACACCATTTCTGAACGATAAATTCATTGAGCGGATTCCATGCAAAGCTACGTTCTGGGGGTATAGTACCTCATAAAATTGGTTCACAGGCCTGAAACTTTGCATGCCCTCCTTCTATATGGCTACAAACACCACCTGCAAACTTCACGCCAGTTAAGCGAGCAGTTCAAAAGTAGACATGCCCAGGTGGTGTTCCCCTTAAGTACAGTGCACAATAGTGAAAGGCTTCAAGAAACTATTCAAAGTTCAATCAGAAAATATTGGACCACAACCACTATTCGCTCCAAATTCGTTTTGAACTCAAACACCACTATTCGCGTATGCCTAGTAATTTGCGTTCGGGTCTTTTTAGCCCTAGGGCCAAGTTTGTGGACATAGCGACCGCTAGATAAAAGGTGAACTTGGTTAATTAGTTCAAGCTTGGAATCAGACTCTCTGTCCCATTTCCTTCTCTTATTGATACCCTTATGTTTTAGAAGTATTTCCTGGAAGTTGGGGGATCCCACAGCCGTTTCTTGTTTGTTTTTCCAACACAAAAGCCCTCAATAGACATTTTTTTTTCTGTTCGATACCGATAGTGAAATCTGAAAGGAAAAAATAAAACCTCAGGAAATGTTTTCCGAATTTGTAGAAAAATGAACCCCGGGTACACTGAACCCTACTTATAATTCAGGTTCTGCATTTGCGGTAAATACCGGTAAACCACGAAAATTGATCCTTGATTCAGTTTTATCTAAATCAAAAAAAAAAAAAAAACAGAGTTGGAACTGACAAGCAGACCCTACGGTCATCTAAGGTTCAGCGTCTGCCAATTGTGCCGGAAGAGCCACCCGCGTGACCTTTATTGCAACACCACTTCGGCAGTTGTTTTTGACCCCCGATATCCGGCATCCATTGCCAAGAATCTGAGAACAGTAAATACATAAATCAATATCAGGCCACACTCGCTCGTCGAAAGTGTTTCGAGAGACGTCTGGAAACCTGGACTTTGGCCAGTTGGCACCCCAAGTCGTGAGTGTGCAGCCGTTGCTCATTGTCGAGCGGCCGGCTGGGTCTAGCCTTGGCTCCGACCCTCCTGTTTGCTACTAAATATGTGGCTTGTGACAACAGCCAACAGCTTTTATGTCTTCCCGTGTGCATTTGTGTGTGCGTATATGTGTGTCTGTGTTCTTTTTACTCTTGGCTGGGCATGACCTGCTCAAGACAAACAAAGTGAATGTGAGGTGTGTCAGTAGAACACGCATGGTTTAGAACAGCAGAGGGATCGGCAACCAAGCATGTTGCAGTACTGCAATTTGGAGCCATGCCACGCTCATCATCAATACCAGCACGTTGAGTGCCGTTACAATGGGCCTTGCTTGCTGCAGGTTACGCCTCGGCTTGCGTTTGACTTTATATTAGCTTGAGAATCTTTCCGCACTTGGCAACACTTCACGGCGGCAGACGAACAGATGGGGCCACAACGTCCAAGCTGGCGTAGTCCGAACACAATTCACCGAGACGAGATGAGAGGCACAAGTTCACAACCGCAAATGGTAACAAAAATTCAGCACAGACACTTAAGATTGCTTACGTATACTCCGTGTCACTACTTGTGTGCAGTGCAGGCGAAGGTAACGGTAAGCAAAGAGAGAAAAGGCGAGCACTAGGAACGCGGGATGGGAGAGCACGGCAATGGAGGGCGAGGGGAGAAAGGAAGAGCACTAGAAACGTTAGAAAGAAAAGAAGCTTCTCTCCTCCTCCCCAGCCCTCCAAGTGCTTTCCCTTTCTCCCCTCGCCTGGCATTGCCTTCGCCTGTACTGGACGCAACTACTGGCACGGAGTATAGGCACAGCTTTAGTAAGCCGGAAGCGTGGAGCAGCCGGGGCGTCAGGGAAGCATGCTCGTCTCACTCCCCGGAGGCCCAAATTCGATTCTCACCCAGACAGAAATGTACCAAATTTTCTTTTCAAAGACATTAATTTACTTTGTTTACAGGAACCTCCCTGAAAACTTGTTTGCAGCCAGTGGGAATTTAGGTGCCGTTTCGCTGCTGCAGACAATGCCCAACCAATGGGAATGGAGTTTGCTGTTTTCGCCAGCTTAACCGGCATCGCTCAATGAGGCAGTTCATGCTTTTGCAGTAATAATGATGATAATGACGCGCAGCTAGAGGAAACAAGATCCGTCCCACAGCGTGACGTAGCAGTAGGACATAGCAGTACTCAAGTAGCACTGCCAAACCATGCCAACCCATGCGCAGCCGGCATAGAATCTAAAATGGTGGCTTCTCGGTGGTGTTTCCCGCCGATTGCTCGCAACAATTTTGTCAGGAAAATAGAACTTTTGGACTTCAAGCTGTCCGAAACATTTGTCGTGAATAAGCACAATTTTTATGGGGTAAGTCACGGTTCCGCCTTTAGGTCCGAAATATCGAACAAGTCCGAATTATCGAAGTCTGGAAAATCGGTCGGCGACTGTAGATGGTGCCAGCGTGCCTGTGCGTTCTCTCACCATAAGAGATCACGAGAGGTTGTAATGCTCCCGGCCGTAAGCAGACGCGAGTGTGTGAACCAGTCTTTTAGTCTGACGAACCCCCTCTCCTCTTTTCTCCTAGGTGGCTGCGACCTTTTAGTAACAATCCCTCGTACGATGTGAAAGTTCCTCTGCTCGTTGCACATTTCGTGCCTTTGTTCCCACAAATGACGGCGTACGTTCTCTACGTTGCCCTTTGACTGGTGTGCCCCTCCTTGCGTCCCGACAAGCCAGAGATGTTTCTCGGAACGCTTGCTCGCCGTATTGAGCCTCCCGCCTGCCCTCCCCGCAACCCAGGTGGCTGGACTCGTCGCTGTCCCTGATGGAGCAGGACGTGCGCGAGTTCGACCTGCTCCAGCTGCGCTACAAGTTCTACAGCTTCTACGACCTGAACCCCAAGAAGGACGCTGTGCGCATCAACCAAATCTACGAGCAGGCCAAGTGGGCTCTGCTTACTGAGGAGGTGGACTGCACCGAGGAGGAGATGATGCTCTTTGCAGCCCTCCAGGTACCGACCATGCACCTTTATTTCGGTTAATGTTTGTGGCCCAACTTTGCCGAAGCAGCTTCCCATAAAATCCCAAGAGATTCCCTAACCCCCCAAAAGTACCCCGCCCCTATTTTAAGCTTGATTTGCTATTTTCTTTAAGATAGCCCACTTCTAGTAATCATAGTGTTGGGATCAATGATGACCTCGGCGTAAATGCGTCCACATAGCAATGGCGGGATATAAGCGAACACTGCTGACTGGGAAGGACAGTCATCTTTGCTTCATTGCCCCTCGCCATGATAACAAGTTTGACAGAGACACGTTATCTAAAAATAGCATTTTTGTTATACTTCTGTTAATTGCACACCGAAAGTTAGCCATGCCTTATTTTCACCCAGTTTTATCTAGATTTAAGGTGGGCTATCTCACGGGCTATTATGGTAGTTCAGTGAAGCCAAACCTAACCGATAGTCAGCGACAGGTTAAGAATGCAGTAGCTGCTGCGCCTCCTGTCCAGTCTTCCTGCCTTTGATAGCACTTCGTCGCACATGCAGCCAAAACCGGTGATAGACATTGAGTGTAAGCTGGAGGCTGGGCTTCTGCCGCATTCTTAGCGATGCTCCTTCTTAGAGTGGTGTCACCTTGCTTCCAGGAACGTTTGCATTCGCCATACCTTTGCCGAGGTTAACCGGCTTAGTCTGACCAAGCCTAACCTAACATTGGGTGCCTCGCTGTTCTCGTTTTACAATGATAGCTGTTGGTGGGAACTTTCCCGGGGAATTGCGTTGTTGCCCCTCGCCCTGCCATTCTCACTTGGACAGTGGCTGTGGCCGACACGCCGCTGTGCCAGTGCCTGCGCACGATCGTTCGAGCGGACGAACTTGCACGCTGTGCGGCTAGACCTCAGGAAGTTTGTGGAAGGTTCGAAGAACGCGACTTTCAGTTAAGGCGCACCGAGGGTGGCTTGTCGTGGACGGAGTTGGGATCGGGCAAGGGAGCCTAATCAAGAGCGGAAGCGAAAATGGCATGAAAATCGTCGCAATCGTGCTCGGGAGGAGGTGCAGAGGCAGCCGCGATGGCAAGTTACGCGAGCGCCCAACCAATGTCACTGTGACACGCGTTACGCAATGGTGTAAATTACCTCAGATTTTGATGCAGAATGTGTCTTTTGTAGCATGAGCTACACTGACCGAAGTCAAGCAGTTTTGTGTGGCTCCTGGAGAGCCATGCTGCGCATGCGCAAGGAGCAGCGACGTCACATGGCGCACAGCTGGCGCGCCGGAGCCGCTGCAGCCGCGCGCTCCGCCGCCGTTGCGCGCGCCTCGCCAGTCTGCGCATTCCAGAGGAGTGACGTCATAGCCGAGGCAGATGCACTGGCACCGCCGTGTGCCCAGCTATGCGCCTCCGCTGTGCGGTAGCCAAGTCTGACGATGCACCGGAGCCGCTTGATAGCGCCTCTCATTTTGTGCGGATAGGCTCACGCTACGTATATCCTGACAAAGCCGAGCTAAGCCATCGCAATTTTTTTTACCAGTTTCAGATAAAAAAAATTATCACGAACGGGTGTCATTATTGAGCGTCGGGAGCGAGTAACATGCCGGGAGCGTTAAAGACGTTAAGTTAATAATTAAAAATAAAGAAAAATAATAAACAAATAAAATAATAAAGTTAATGGGGCGGTGCAACGATTTTATAATTAAAAGAATTTGCATCTCGTCATTTTTACATTTATTGTGTCCTGGAGGACAATGAAAACACCTCCTTCATTAAAAATGTTGCGATCCGCTGCATAATCGCAAAGCAAAAGTCTAGTTTTTTCCACCACCTGCAGCCCCAAGTGGCAGCCGAAGGAACTACGGCGAAAGATTACGTGACCTCGTTCGGCTCTAAGCTGCAGCATAACGCCCGCTAATGTCAGTAGAGAGAGGGAGAGGAAGCGTCCTCCGAGACAGCACACGGGAACCTACACGGCACTCCCAATGACGTCACTAGGAGGGGGACCAGGTGTGACCGTGAAGGCTGGGAGTGAGTTGAGGGGTGCCCGAAATGCCAATATTTATCTTTTTTTTTTTTGACGCAACAACTAGGGCACGCAGGCGAAATCGGTTTTCTGTTCTTTACTTCAGAAGTGTCAGAGGGCAACTTTCTGAAATCTTTGACCAAAGTCCGGAAATCGTTGCACCACCCCTTTAATAATAAAATAAAATAAATGAAAAGGAAAAAAATAATGCAAATAATTAAACAGAATGAAAAATTTAGCAGAAAGAACACATGGAATGTGGTCTGTATGGGACGTGTTCCGTGCTTCCTGGTCTTTGTCGACATGATGAAGACTATTTTTAGGGCAATGCCTCCATTTGTAGTAGTACCAGGTGCTTGCAAGAAAAGATACAGTGACTTAACACCATGATGTCATGTGATACCATGTGACTAATCGGAGGGTGCCAATAAAAAAAAACAATTCTACAAAAACCCGCCGTTTCTTGTACACTGCAGTTCTTCGTACGATGGTGCGAACGACAGATTGAAACACAGCTGCCATTTCTTTCTCTTTTTGCTCCTCGCAGCTCCAGGTGAACATGCAGGCCAACAGCTCTCAGCCCGACTTCTCGAGGGGCGAGGACGACATAGACGCTGCCCTGACGGACCTCCAGGTGTCGCTGGAGGGCACCCTGCTCACCAACGAGACGTCCAACATCACCCAGGTGCCGGAGCTGCACAGCTACCTGCGCTTCCTCAAGTGAGCACCTTTCCCCGGACAAACTTTCGCAGTCACCTTGTAGACGTGTGCGCGATGGAATCCCTCTCATTACTTTGCAGACCGCAGTAGAATTAGTCTTCCGCGACAATATTTACCGGACTTGACTGAACCGGAATGTGCCAGTTAGTTAGTTTAGCAGTTAGCTAGCGAGTCCGACGTCTTGGCTCGTTCGTGGTCAAGCAAAGTTGCAACGGACACGGGTGGGGTTGAACCCAGGGATCCTGGGTTCGATCCCCACACTTGCTTGTTTCGATCTGAATAAACATTGAACTGGCGTGCCATCTTGTATCACTACTGTGTGATGCACATAAAAAGACCCAAGGCTAGCAGTGTTACTGCACTGGCAAACTTTTTCATCCACGACAGAAATGCCAGTTGCGCATCGGGGCTGACCAACTTTCCAATGTTTAAGTGTACAGACAACACTATTACTTGATACTGTCTGTTTCTGTTTGTTTCAGTCCCCTCTTTTTTTATTTATTTCTTTTTTTTTTTTCGCGCTGCACATTCACTGTTTTGTTCATTGTTACGTAGCCTCATCAAAGTGGCATCAGTTGCAAATGAGTGGATCCGTATAATGTGGAGGACGCACCGTCCAGGCGTGTTGGTACTTGTGAATTAATGGCTCCACGCTTCCTTCCCATTGCCATCTGCAGGCCCAAGCGCTTCACCCTGAAGGGCTTCAAGCGCATGTTCTTCATCTTCAAGGAGACACGCATGTGTGTCTACAAGTCGAGAGAGGAGTATGAGAGTGGAGGCAGCCCCAGCTACGTCATCAACCTCAAAGGTAATACAAGTAGTAATGATTATGACAGTAATGATGATGCACATTTTTAGTCTATATAAATGCGGCAATTTTAGATACCTTTGAACAGTGTCCGAGGTACCGCGCAACTGCAACTGGCATTTCGCTTGCAAAACGGATGTGAAGTAAAACTGTGGAAAGAATTGTCACACTGCTATGGCGAGTGATGTCAGCCATGTTTAATGCACTGATCCAAATTGAGGATTGTTCCTCAAAGAGGTGTAAGCAGTCTTGGAGGGACAAAGAAAGGCTCATTTTGTTTACCTCATCAACTCATTGATAGAGTAATGCAGGTCAGATTTTTAAAAATAAAGCAGCAAAGATATTTTAAAAAAAATATTTTTGTTGTGTGGTGAGGCTCGTGTCATTTGAATCTGCTGCAGTGGGTCATAAATAATACAAACTGCAAATACGAAAAAGAGATGATAAAATTAACCAAATACTGACACAAGGACTGGTAGAACAGTTAATATTGTTCGTTTCACCGTACGATGAACCACAATGGATGCTACGAACCGCTGCAGCCAATCCATAGTTCGGAGGGCATCGTGTGTAACAAGTATGTAGCGCCCCCTCCAGTCCACCCGTCTATGGCCGCCAGGCTCGGCGGGCAACATTGATCACCGTGCCGAATAAACGCCGTGGAGTGCACGCCGCCCCGGTCAGTCATCGTCCACCCTCACAACCAGGCTGTGTGTCGTCTCTTCTCGGCGGGTGCTTCGGCCCCCCTTCGTCCACGTTCTAGAAGGATCGTGACCACTTTCCTTTCAGGCGAAATGTGAAATCACAGGTCACGCGTGGAGTGCTGGATTGGCCGACGTGGCTTGTAGCGTCCGTTGTCGTACATCGTAAGGCAAAATGAAGCATCGGCATGTATTTGTGACACAAAGGTAACCTAGGTGTACAAGTGAGTGCTCTTAGTTTCTTTTTGACGTGGTTCTTGGACGAATTGGCGACATCCTGTTCCTTCCGCAGGGTCCGAGGTGACACCAGACGTGTACCTGGCCCAGGGCAAGTACGGGATCCGCCTGGAGGTGCCCGGCCCCGAGGGAATGACCGAGTACTGGCTTCGCTGCGAGACGGTAAGACTGCACGAGGACCATTGTTTCATGACGTCTCAGGCCTTTCAAAGTGCGTGAAAATCTTCATTACCAAAACTGTTTTTTTTTTTTTTCTTTAAATCTTAGGTGAATTGGGTTTAATAAAACAATAGAATAAAAGCCGTTTTAATGCACCCTCTTCATGGGACACCATAGTATGCGGACAATACATGTTTAAAACTTTATATTTTACACGACGCAGACTGTCTACAGGTGTGAAGTATGCAAGGATTTTTTTTTTTTTTAAGGTATTTTATTATTAGACGTGACAAATTTTGCGAGTGACTGATTATATTTGATTTCTGTACGACGCAAGCTTCTTTGTGTGCTAACAAAGCAAACATTTTTCCGAGACGAGCCACGTACGGGATTATGTGGGCAACTGTAGCTAGTCGCCCACATATAATCACCTCACAGACGTCAGCAATCATCGTGACTTGGCACATGCTCTCCTCAGAGGTTACCGCCTGGGTCCTCAGTCGTTTCATCAAATATTCGACGAGACCGTCAGTCGCCACGGACATTCATCCCCGGCTCTCATCATTGAGGACATCTGTTTGACCTTCCCGAAGCTTCATGCAGACTGATGGTCTTGTAGACTTACTGTTTGGGTTACTAGTTTAGCCATGTCTATTTGTGCGTTAAGCTGATTTTGAAGCGAATCGGCGACCTCAAAGAAAACAAAAGAGACCGATAGAGTATCCCTCTGAGCGGTTGGCGACTTTAGCCACACCCCGAAAGGGTGTGCCCCGAACACATCTTGGAACGACGGAGACATGGTCCTCTACACGCGCAACAGGAGGACCAGTACGCCCAGTGGATGGCGGGCTGCCGGCTGGCGGCCAAGGGCAAGACGATGGCGGACGCGTCCTACGACGCCGAGGTCAGCTCGATCCAGCAGTTCCTGCAGCTGCAGCGCCCGGCCCCGGCCCCTGCCTTGGCCCCCTCCGAGCTCAACATTGAGGTGGAGGACTTCGTGGCACCCCGCTTCCTCAAGAAGCTCAAGACCAAGCAGGTGGGTGCGGACTTGTAGTATGGTACTCGTTATAGCAAATCGAATTACTTGTATACTTTTTGGAATAATTTACTACAATATAGGAAGTAATCACAACAGTAATCCGATTACTTTTGGAAGCACTAAAATTACCTATAACTGTTACTCTTTTTTCCTCCCTTTTTAATGGTGCCCTTTGTTGGTAACACTTCCTTGCCAAGGAATCTTCGAAGCAAATCTCCGACGTGGATTATGAAGATAAGTAGTTCATAATTCTGTGATGCTAGTCTGACGATGGACTGTCTGAATTACCCTTTTTCAAATCTGGAGTAATTGGAGAAGTAACTGTTACTTTTTCAAGGAACAGCCAATTACTTTTCTTATTGAGTGATCAAGTAATCTAATTGCATGCTTTTTAAAGGGGTACGGAAACGAAATTTTAGCGCCAATCTTTCTGCATAAATATGGGCTAGGGACAGGCACCACCTTGGAAATATCAAGATCGCGCTGTAAAACACAGGAGAACTAATTTTAAACCTAATTAAACGATTTCAAATTCACATCTGGTGGATGGTGGGAAAGTCCTCGTGACATCACTTGTGGCATAGGAGCAGCGCCGTTCTGCGACAATACGGCGTGCCGGCAGAATTCGCCTAGGCCTGAACGCATTTGCAAAGCCTTGGCGGAGAAAGCCAAAGCGTAGTAGTTGGCCACAGTGAGCTCGTTTTCGTTGCGGCTCTTTGCACGACACGACCCGAGCATGCTTCTGGCACGGCCGGTATTAGTTGCTGCGAGTTGCGACCTGCGAGCCGACGTTAAAAAAGATATGTCTGAACTACGAGAGTGTCAGCAAGAGCCACGCAAATACCTGTTCACGCTTGGAGCGGACACGCGCGTTTGATCGAAGTGCTGGATTTGCCCTGTTAGACCGCATTTCGGTAAGCGCTTCTGGACCGATCTTTTACGATTGCAACTCGATACTGACATGACACTCGACAAAGAAAGGTTGGACCGACATCGCGTAGCTCCCACAACTGCTATAGCTCGACAGTGACGTAGCGACGTGTCGGAATAAGGCCTCATTCACACAGCCGTTTTTTTTCCCGGCCCGGCGAAAATGCCGGCCGTCTTTTGCGCCGGGGGAGAGGGTGTTGGGACCGGTTTCCGGCCGAAATCGGGGCGCCGGACCCGAAAAGGGCCGAACGAGAATGTTCAACGTCCCCGGCACCGGCGGGAGACCGGGAACGCCGGCGCCCCGCCCCATCGAGGGACGGCCAATCACAAAATCGGAAACTTTCGCTGAATCTGGTGGATTCGCAAAAGTTGGATGACCATGGGCACGGCCGCGGGAGGGAGAGTTGACCGTACAGTGCCCTAACGCCCTAACGACGAAGCCAACCAAGCCAACAAAGCTCTTTTCGGGAAGGGTGGAGGCCAGCGAGACGACGGGCGCATTGTGTGATGTTTACGGTTCTTGAACAACGGGCATACAGAGATTCGGATTTACCGCTGAGCTGCTGCTCGAAATGGTGAGACCACATCGGTTCCTTTGCGATAGACGTAAATGCGATTTTAAGGAAGAACAGCCGAAGAAACAAAATGCGGTCGTCGATCATCGGGGACGAAATGCGGCGCAAGGAGCGATTGATGTGACACGTGCTCGCGGTGGGTCTTGTCGTTTTTGTTTCGAAACGTGGAGACAAATAAAATGTTTTGAATCATGAAAGATCGTTATCGGCAACCCAAACGCAAGCTCCGAGGAACAAAACAGTTGTGGCTGCACCCGTCGACGCCGATCGTCTGCTACATTTAAAGGTCCACGTCGCCACAAAGCAGCCACAAATACGGGATTACAAGATTGGTAATAAAGATCGAGGGAAGTGTGTAATTGCGCACGAAATAATAGGTTATATCGGTTATACAGTTTTACGAGATACAAACGTTGAAGCGGAATTTGAAAGGTGCACGAAGATTTCTAAGCTAGGTGACGCAAGCTACCGCCCAATATAAGGGGGCGTAGCCTCCAGCATTGCCGGCAGCTCCGCCGCCACTGGTTCGAACACTCTTCCGTCCCCGCACCTTCCCGTTTTCGGCACGGCGCCCACGGCGCTTTCGCCGGGACGGGGCGAAACGCCGGCTGTGTGAATGAGGCCTAAAAATGGCATACTAATAACAAAGTGTACATACCGTGTTGCGAAGGCAATCCGTATGGCGTTTATTTGAGCTCTATATCACACAAAACAAGGAGATAGAATCAATTAGAGTCCCTTTACGACGACAGCGTTCGCCACCGCTGTCTCCGAAAACAAGGAGATCGAGATGACAAGGGGAAAAGATTGACCTCTGAAATTTAGTTCAGGGATACTATTCATCCGGGAAGGGTTCACAAGGGTCACGCGTGCATATTCCATTCAGCAGGCCAGCCGGAGCAACGGTGCGCCGAGTCGGTGTTGCTGCTAGGCCTACTATATTCTGCCGAGGTCACTTGGTCGGTAGTCGTGGCCGTTGTAGCTCTTCTCGGGTGTTTGTGCATCCTACGTCCTTGATCATCGTGGTCTGTTTCAAGTACTCCTTCCTTTTATCTTGCTGGTTGAAGTCGGGACGCACGAGAAGAGCACGTAGAAAAATAAATGTCCGTTGATCGTCGCTACCAAGTAACTGAGCGACGCCGTCGGCCATGTTGATTTGATCGTAAAAAGTGCCCAACACAGCTGCGGAGCTGTCGTAGGATTCTGTCGTAACGTGCGCAAAAGTTACAATTTCGTTTCGAGAATACGGGTTTTCTCTCAAATTTGTCGTACGCACTTTTTTCGTTGTCAGTTCGCTTTGAGAATCCGGCCTCAGAGCTGGTTTTGTCAGTGGTGCCGTGGTTGCCGACTTGCCGTGGTGCAGCGTACGTGCAGCCCTTGCACATCTCAAACGGCCACGTTGTCACAGATCGTAATTTGTCGACGCGCCACCAAGTGACAACGCTCGTAACCACAACATCCACGCCGTAGCCTTTCCCGTCTGGCACAAGTGACGTCACGAATGCGCCCAATATCCCAAGACGCATCGCGCTCTCCGATGGCTGATTTTTGAGCGCGCGCCCAATCGGGCCCCTCAGGGTGAAAAATATAGCCATCCGTTCGAAATACAAACGCGCGATTATGATTTACGGATATCATTGATCATATTAAACCTATTTCTGACCATAATAGGTGTATTTCAAGTTTCGCGTCAGTATCCCTTTAAGAGGGAGTAATTGTAATTGTAATCTATTACTTTTTTCAAGTAATATGTACAAGACTGGGTAGGCGGCATCGTTGTTGCGAGCTTCCAAAAGGAAAAAACAAAACAACAAAGGATAAAAATTGCGGGATTTTTTGTTGCATTTTACAAGCGAATTGGAGTGACGGCCGAGGCATTAAAGACTGCTGCACACGGACTATGCACAATTGCTCTCCACCGTCGTTCCACAAAAAAAAAAAAAAAAGGGATTTTACGTCAGTGTTTATATGGCATAAGGTCGGTCTGCCTTTGGGGTGCGGTGACGCCGGTTTACGCCGCAGACGAGAAATTTAACCGGTGCCGTACCACCTCCAACCTGGGGTCTCCAACGTGCACCGCACAGTATTGATAGACAGCCGCACGTCGGTACGATGCTCATCCAGATCGAAACAGGCAGTGGTGGGGATTGAGCCTGGGATACTGGAGTTCTGCAGGGCGAGCTTTCACTCCGCACACTTTGAACTGCAGCAAGTAAATATAGTCTGCCAGCCATCCCCCTCCATTCAAAATTCGACAAAGGTGCAAAGATGACGTCATGTGACATCGCAATGTCCCCGCTCAATTCAGTGGGGAAAATTGCTCCTAAATTTAGTAGGGAAATTGCGATGTCGCACGGTTGGATCATGTCATTGTCTTCGACTTCACAATTTCCCTGCTGTGCTCCGTGTCACGACGACTTGGCGAGCTGTGAAGGCTGTGCCCCTGTGACCCGATAAGCTCCACAGTTTGCCAAGTGATCGTGAGACAGAGTATAGACGTAGCGGAACAATCTCTCCACTAAATTCGGCGCAGCAATTTTAAGCGCCATGGCAGCCGAGCACTAAGATGCCTGAAGCGTCGCGACTCCAGAGCGTAGCTTTCGTCGTTGTTCCAGTGCAGGCAGTCGACACGCCGGCATAGCAAAGACACGAGGATGCAAAAACGTACGGCTTTATCGCGGAGAGATTTTTCGTCGGAGCGTAGTGGCGGCTCTCAGCAAACGGTGCTCTCCGCAGGCCATCACTCAGCGCATCGTGGAGGCACACGGCAACGTGAAGGACCTCTCCCTGGTGGACGCCAAGCTGAGCTTCATCAAGGCCTGGCAGGCGCTGCCAGAGTTTGGCATCTCCCTCTTTGTCGTGCGCTTCTCTGGCAGCAAGAAAGAGGTGCGTATGCCGCCGTTGGGCGTCTTGCTTTGGCAACTGCGGGCCAGAGCGACGCCACCTGAGAGAGTACAAGCCCGTGCACTATTGCCGTTGCTGCAGCGAGATTGAGCGCAGACGCAGGTTACACGTGTGCATTGTGTCCGACAAATGCATCGAAGGACGCTCTACACAGAGCTCCTTCGTGTCCAATACATGCACTCCGAGCATGTATAGGACACGAGGGCTGCGTCGGCGTTAGGCGTAGGCTCGGCTTGTGACGAGAATGAGTGCTGCGTCGGCGTTCGGTGAGGACTCTGACTCTATAGCACGCTTTGTGCCTGAGAAATGTCAAGTGCCAGGGGTGCTCGACGAGGCTTTGAAAAGCAATTACCGACAACAAAAACTAAGCTAAGAGTCGTCGTCATGGGGACACTGCGCGAGGCGCTAACCCGCTGAGTGCGGCGGCCTCGCAGGAGCTGCTTGGAGTGGCCTTCAACCGGCTCATGCGCATGGAGCTGTCCACTGGCGACCACATCAAGACGTGGCGCTTCAACACCATGAAGGCCTGGAACGTCAACTGGGAGGTGAAGCAGATGATGGTGCAGTTTGAGGAGGAGCCCCACGTGGCGTTTGCCTGTCTGAGCGCCGACTGCAAGACGGTGCACGAGTTCATCGGGGGCTACATCTTCCTCAGCATGCGCTCCAAGGACCAGAACCAGGCACTCAACGAGGAGCTTTTCCACAAGCTCACCGGGGGCTGGGTCTGAGGGTCACCGGGGGGCATTGTCTGCCTCCCTATTCGAGGGAGGCCTGCTGCGGAAGCCCGTCTCTCCGGCGGCGGCCATTTGCTCCACATTTGAGGACGCAATTACCGCGTCCTCAAATGTGGAGAAAGGCCCATAAAATTTCGTGAAACGTAATCGTAACGAAACTATACATCGGCTTGCCGTTAGCATTTCAAGAGCCACAGACGTGTGGGCCTCTTTACGGAGGTAGGGCACTGGAGTTTGAAATCGAGGTAAGCCTGCTTCGTCTTACACCAACAGATTAAAATCGGAAGTTCTTGTTTCAAGAATTTTTAATAGTCAGTTTTTTATAGTCTTTATGACGACAATTCGGTGCTTGGATGCGGCAAACGGCCGCTCGCACAGAGACGTGCTTCCAAGTTTGTTTTTACGGTCGGTGCTTCCAGACGGAGGGCGGCACGGCAGACGACACTTGGGCAGTCGCAGATTTGCGCTCCCGGCTCGCCCTGTTTTGGGTCGGAGCCGAGGGCACGCATTGCGACGTAGTTGTTCGCGTCGAGGCTCGAGAATGCGCCGTGGAAGGGCTCGGGTCCACTCGTTTATACCATAGACGCCGCTCAGAACGAACTGCCCAGAGCACCTTTCGCCAAGTGCAGTGCCGAGAGGAGGTCGCGAGAATCATGTGCCAAAGATTTCGCCGAGGGTACGCCAAATATCTCGAGATTGCGGCTGCTCGGCATGCGGACGAAGCAAAGAGACGACGATTCGAGACAGAGATATCTTAGTAGAAAACTCTCAAAAACGGTAACGCAAGGTGCGAGGACATAACCTTGCATGGGCGTTGTCGCGACCGGTACGCGTACCAACGGCAGCGCTATGGCAGTCGGCGTTCGGCGGCGTCAGAGGAAAAAACGAGTAGGTCCTGTGTCTTCGACGGCGCTCGGTTTGTCGGCGTGGTGCAGTAGTACTTGTCTTCCGCGCAGCCTTGTTTTTACGTTTTGCAAGGTGTCGCGGTGACATTGTTGGAGCGTCACGGGAGAGCGCAGACATTTTGGGTTGTCGGAATGCGTACGAAAGAGCACCGGAAAACATGTTCAAATGTGTCCGAAAAGACCGGTTGTTTTGGAGCGGGGAGACGAATGTCGGAAAGTCACGAGTGCAAAGAGCCGGATACTGCCCAAACCTCGGTTGGAGCTCGCGCAAGTTTTTTCTGTGGGACTCCGTACGTCCGGGAAGACTAACTTCGGGTTTGCTAGTTATCCTTCCAAAAACAGGATTTTATGGTGACAGCTGGTTACCGAAAAACCGGTCAATGTCATTTCAGAGCCGACCGACGTCAGTTTGTAGCCAGCCCATACCCGTTTTCAGCCGATATTGTGCCAGTTCGATGTCCCAACTAGTGCCGATGCCGCTTCTTCGGCCCGCGAAGCAACACAGTGGGGGGCTTTGCCCGCATTTCAAGTTACCACACCCCAAATCAAAGACCGATGTTTCAATGGTTCATCGGTCGCCGCCCTTGCAGGGTTGTGGACGCGCGCAAATTTCAGGCCATTTTGCGAAGCTCGCTATGCAATGTCTTACCTCCTTTGTCGTGTGCCTCGGCTTTTACATGGTGCATACGCTGCGGCCGCCTTTCTCTTTCGCCGCACGATCCTCCGCATTTCATCTACTCTCAGGGCGAGAAACGGTCGCATTTTGCGGTGTTTGTTAGTTTTAGAGGGCAATGAGGGGCTACTCAAAACTGTTGCACGTCCAGTAAGACATGTGCGCTTGATAAAAAAAATGTTTTGTCTATTCTCCCGTTTTTGGGGAGCTTTTATTGCCCTACTTTTAATTTCTCCTTGCTATAGCGCTACCTGTGGCTACGGACGATCGTTGAAATACCTCGAGCCTCACACGATGCAGGATTGTTGGTTGGATATTCGGAGATGCGTGATATCAACCGCACAATAAAAACAGTTAATTTCTCAGAGTTTTGCCATGACATTCAATTTTCTTTTGCATTTTTCATGGGCGCATCCAATAAGATAGAACCCCTTCTGCCTTGGTTAGTGTGTTATATAATATTTTTATGACTCATAGTTTTAATTTTTTAGGCCTAAACGGCTATGCTTGGCAGTGCAGTGATATGCAAGTGCTCCTGCGACAGACGAGCAGTGTAAATACGTTGGGAAATGTCAAAGTCATTGATAACAACGAAGATGATCTGCGTCGTGGCGCAGAATCTACCTGAAAGATGGTGTCTACTCTGCTGTTCCTAAACTCCACTCTTGCCATCAGCTTTATGATAAACGCCCCCGTGCCATGTCTAACCTTGCTGCAATTGCAGAATTTTCTGTGGTGCTATCGGTAGCGCATACGGCCAAGCGAGATGCACCAAATCACTAAACATATGCTTGATGAGATTTTTTTTTTTTTTTTATGTCTATTACATGTACGCTGAAAACTATGCATTAAAAACAAAAGAAGTAGACCGTCGCACCGCGCGCCGTTTACATGCCATACGCTTCTGAACGATCGACCGCCATAGGCTTACTTACATTGTGCCCGACGAGACTGAATTTTAGTCCTGGCACGTGCGATGATGTGGGCACGCATCACACATGTATTCTCAACATGATCAAATTTTTAGGTGTGCGAGGCAGCCTGCAGGCTGATGGCAGTGCCATTGGAATAACCTCGTTAATGCCGTAAACGTGGAAGAGGTGTTTTTCAACTGTTGACTAACTGCCACTCTTGTTCCTGTTGCTGTTGTGAAATGCGTGGCTTCATCGAACGAGCGATGTTTCGTGGCCACGTCGGGACTTTTTCTTTTTTTGTTCTCCAAGTGCCTTTTTGACAGCATTTCTAAGTATGATGATGTTAATACCCAAATACACTCGTGAGCTCTGTTCTCATCCCCTTATTTAAGAATAAAAGTCGGCTCTCCATGTCTTCTGACTGTGCCTCTTTCCTTGGATTGCACGTCAAACGACGAAGGCTGCAAGAATTCCGCAGGTGTTTCACTCCCAAGTATTAATAGCCCCCTCCCCTATGCTCAGTGTCACTAGTTGCGTGCAGTACAGGCAAGGGGAGAAAAGGCAAGCACAAGGAACGCCTGGGGTGAGGAAAGAAACCTTCTCTCTAACGTTCCCAGTGCTCTCCCTTCCTCCCCTCGCCCTCCATTGATTTTCTCTCCCGTCCCGCCTTCTTAGTGCTCGCCCTTTCTCTCTTCACCTGGCGTTGCCTTCGCCTGCACTGCACATAACTAGTGACACGGAGTATAGTAGCGGATTCTTGTGCCTCTCGCGAGACGCAAGCGATCCCTTTCTGTGGCACTCGTAGATCCGGAGCCGGTGGAGCACTTGCCAATTGGCTCCAACCAGGCTATCTGTTCACAAATGGGCATTGCATTTCAGTTTAAATACATCTCTCTAGACCATTCTACTCATAGTTCGAATAAGGACTTTTAGACCTCCCTTTATAATGAACACGAGGCAAACTGTAAGACACAGTTGAAAACGAGCGTGTTGGTTAATAGATACAAACTTGAAAGTATAAAACAGAGAGGACGAGGACGGGAACAGGACATCTTTCATTTAGCAACAACATAGAAAGACCTATGTTGTTGCTATGTTGTTGCTATGTTCTATGTTGTTGCTAAATGAAAGATGTCCTGTTCCCGTCCTCGTCCTCTCTGTTTTATACTTTCAAGTTTGTATGTAAACTGTAAGACAATTCTGGTTGTTCCTTGACCCTTTGAGACACAAAACAAACTCACTTTATTGATCAAGGTTGGTTTGATCCTGGGGGAGGTAGAGCTTGACTTCGCCCGACATGACTTTCTGGTGAAAGAGAGCCCATGCAAGATGGGGGAATACCAATGGTTAACAGACCTCACTCAAATTGAGAAACTAAAGAGTCTGGCTGTTGTGTGTGAGCAAAGTCAGTAAAAGCACTGGACATTTACCAATAGCACAGGAATTTTCTAGCTTTTTTTTTTTATTCTGAGCTCCCATCTGCCACGAATGATGGCCAAGGAAGCCGATCCCTCCTGGCATTGTCGCGGTAAAGCGATTAAAAAGTAACAGTAAAGCGACTCTTGAAAGTAATACAAGCACTAGTCTGTGCTTAGCTTATAATTATGCAGCGATGCAGGGCTCGTGGGTTAAACAGAACTTAAATGGAAGCTGAAACGTGCCTTTAAAGGACCCATGAAACGAATTTTGGGCTGGAGTAAATCAATTTATTTTGGGATTTTACTAATAGCTCATCGTTCAGTGGGCCAAAAGAACAAAGGTAGAAAGTCAGAAGCCTGACTTTCGCTACAAAAATTTGCAAAACATAGCGGACTATTTCTTACCTCCTTCCCTTCGTAAACTCTCCGCCTTTTCACTGTGATACATCCGCGGACCTTGCAGCGCGTCATCGGGCTACTAGCCAGCATAACCGGGCCCCCGCAGCGCGTCACCAGGGCCCAAGCGCACGTCACACGACACCGGACCTCACTTAATCCCTTTACCCCTAAGCTGACATTGCGGTGGAAGCTACGCGCTTGCCGGACCAATCAGCCGCCTCCCTTTCATCACCTGACCTCATTCTCTGCGGGTCGGTATGCGCGAGAGAGCGTGATCACGTGGAAAATGTGTGGCTGGCCCAACGAGCACGTAGCTTCCACAGCACTGTCAGCTTCGGGGTGAACGGGGTGGGGAAAGCAACTAGTCGGAATTTTGAGCGACGGGCTAATCTTCTAGGGGGACAATGGCTGTGTCCGGGCTACACAAGAGAGATTCCGAGCAAGAGAGGACTCCCCCCTTTCCGACTTCTTGAACTGTTTGGTGCAACGCGCGATTTATGAGTTGAGGAGGAAAGCTAAACAGAAAAAAGTTGAAAAAGCGTTTCATGACTCCTTTAAAGAGATGAGATAGAGGTTGATTCTAGCGTGGTTTTACCCGTGAATCCGAATGCAACCTCTGACCCGTTGTTACGTCATACCGGGGTCTTTCGGCTGCCGAGCGCATGTCGCTCGTATGGGCAGCAGATGCTATTTGCCAGGTATATTCCCACACAATGACACCAGTCGTGGCACTTTTTTCTGACCTTCCTGAAAATAGCAAGGGCGCGCGCGCATAGCTTTTATAGGTGCTGAAGATGTGCGAGAAGCGGAGATTCCGAAAACTCTTGATATGACTTCACGCTCAAGGAACAGGGGTCTTCGACGGAACTTTGAGAATGATTTTTTGCAACCTCCATGCACCAAATTGAAAGATATTCTCAATATTTGTGATCCGGAAGGTCAGGTGAAGACGATCTAAGTGGTTTTCCTTGAGTACAGAACCGGTTCGGTTTCCCTTTTAACTGAGAGAATTTTTCCAGGTGACTAAACTAGTGACGTTCTTAAGAATCCAGTTTGACAACACACCATTTAAAAAGGCTGAATTTACTGCAACAATCGTTACGAGTAGCAACCTAACATGTCAGCTGGCTTAACTGTACCTCCCTAACCATACCGGCACTGGTTCTAAGCAGCGTTTCAGTAACAGGTTTGTGACAACGAACACAAAGCTTTGTTTTATGCCTCAGCTTCCCGTTTTCAAGAAAAACGCGAAGCCCGAAAATGTCCCATGTTGGCTATAATGCACGGCTCGCAAATAATATAACATAAAACTCGTGCTACTAATTGCCGTAAAATACCGGGGGAGCGCCCAGCCCATTTTCACTGAAAACTAGATTAATCTAGACATGGGCACTTGTCCAATCAAATCAGGCGCTTAACATACAATTTGCAGAACTCCCAAGTTTGGAATACGTCGATAGTGACCACTTCCACGGTATCTTACGATAGTGCTTGGTTGAATGCAATTGCTTACTTTCCCGTATGTTGTGATGCACTCGTACGTGCAATTCACGATGGCTTTCCGGACTGCAGTCACCTTCACGGTTACCCTGAAGGGCTCTCCAATGAACACTGCAAGGCGAGATGCGCACAGAAACACTGTCAAGATCAACCCTATGCTATGGTCACTGACAAAGTGAGAACTGCAGGGCGCGTTTTTCGAACGCGCGGCCTCTGGCACAGGGTCTAAGCACTTCGCCGCGGTTTGGCTGCTTGCGACCGCTTGAGATGCACGGGGCATTGAAGGTTGGAGGTTTGGACAACCGAAGCGCCTTCCTGTCGGCCTCACCTTGTCAGCGACCATAGTGCTTCCATGCAGAAGACCGTGATGCGCCATGCAACACGACGAGGAGAGTAAGTCGCAACTCTTACGGGGCCTCGGAAAGTCTAGAAGTTGGCGCACGACGACTGATCCTGGTCCCGGCATCTTGGTTCCAATAACCGAAGAGACTATGCTGCATTTATAACGAGAAATGAGCACAATACTAAATTGGGGAGTTTGGTCTCTGCGACAAAAGCTCTGTCTTAAAGACTGACGACCTGTTCGCGCTTTCCACTTTTCCCTCGCTTCTTCCTTTCTCCCTTCTACCTTGTCCACCGTTGCCTGTTTCCCCCTCCTCCATGATGAGGAGGATCATCTGCCTTGCAGAATCTCCAGTCTGGTCGTCAGCCTTTAACTGGCACCATTCGTTGGTAAAACGCTTGGCACATTCTTGGCTAACCCCACCCTGAACAAGTTATATTTCTTGTACTCCATTAAACCTTACAATACACAGTAACATGTGCTATGAACCACCAGAGCCAATACAATGCCGTGGGAGTGTCACGTGAGCCGAGGGGGGGAGGGGGCAACGACGCACAAAGTGTTTAGTCGTGTTATAGGTTCACAGCACTGGATTGGCATCGTGGTTCATCGTAAGGTGAAACGAAGTATAGCAAGATATCCTTTCCAAGTCCTTACCACCTTCCAGCGCCTGCCTGTTTTGTCAGGACAGCCTAAGAAAGTGCCACTCGCGAATGAATTTTTCGCACAAGAGCCAGGCGTTGACGAGTGCTGGCATAAAAAGTGTCAACCATTGACATACCACTAAACGGATACTAATCATTCCCTGGTAAATAATTGTTTTGTGTGTATGTCTAGACAGCCGGAAGTTAGTTTGCCTCAACGGGCGACTTTTCTCGGTTGTGGATGAGAAATTTATCCAGTGCAGTACAACCACTGCCTGCATGGAGGTAGGAAGCTTCTGGAGGCGACATAACACCACCAGAGGTGAAGCCGAGGGAGATATCCGGTTTGGATGGAGGGGCACGCCCCAACGATGACCAAAACCAAATACTCTATTGGACGGACTTGGGCACACTTGGGTGCTCTCGGACGAATTTGGGCACCCTTGTGGAGCGACCGCGACCTCTACTTCTGGCTTTTCTCGTTTGGCTGGCATGAGCCAATCTCATCTTATTCCTACCTCCATTCCTACCTCGGTGTGCTGAGCCCCTCAGTACGGGCCTTTGGCCTTTCCAGCACACCCCAGCTCTCCCGAGTTGAAATAAAGTTTTGCTATTGCCTGGCTGTGCTTATGCATCAACCATGCTCTCTCAAGCAAGTGCCGATCACTGGTAGCTCCAACAAAGCAAGCACTTGACCGTGAAAACCGATAGGGTATATCCAACCAAACTCTGCCTAACTACCAATCATTCAAAAGCTCCGCCCATCCATGTCTAGCATTGCCAGGCTCTGGCCTAGCATTTGCCAATCATTGGCAGCAGCCCAGATACACCTATCAATTACTGGTTAGCATTGGCATGCCGATCACTTGTGTGGGAACCAATCACTGACGTTGGGAAATGGCGGTTTCCGCGACGGGTACAGGGTATGGCAGTTTTACGTCCCATTTCACCCATATCTTATGAAAATTACGCTGACCCTTCATGCGTCAGTTTCTCCTCTTTTTTTCGTTCTTTTAGAGAGTGGGTAAAGCACTTACCCATTGATGAGTGCTCCGTGAACCACTCGTCGTTGGAAGTGTTTACGTCGAGCGTACTCCCGATCAAGGTGGATGGGATTAGTGTCTCCCGTGAGTTTAGCGAACGTTTCAACGTCGGCTTCGGTGAAGGTGCGTTCCGCGTGCACTGTGTCGCCCACAGAAACGTGCAGGGCCTTGTAACATTGACAGAGCACGGTGGCTTGGAGACGACGACAGAAAATGCCATTGCAAATCAAACTCGCCGCCATGATTTTCTTATGAAGGATGTAGACTCCAAGCACTCCAAGGGTCGACTGGGTCACAGACTGGGTCGACTTGTTCGGTTGAGATATGGTTGAGATAGAGACATCCATGTTTAAATATTTGTAAAATTTGTTAAGCACTCTTTTTTAATTTACAAAGCTTATAATATCAAATGCTCACCAAACTGAAGGCCTGTAAAGCTGCGCCCACTTCTGAGGTGTAAGGTAGAGCCATCTATCCGGGGTGGAATGAAGCGTTGTATAAGTCGATTCTTTTTCTTGCTACCAGAGAGCAGCACCCGTAACAGGGGCCGAGTTTTGGGGCCCTAACCTCCTTGGGGCCTTGGGCCCTGGGCCGAAGGCCTTCCTACACCGTGGCCGAAGCGCCGAATGCTGCAGCTGCCGTCGGCTCTGACTGCCGTGCCGCAGCCCACATCGCAGCGCTGGCAGCCTCGTAGCTTGCTACGATGTGTTGTTTTCCTGTGTTATCTGGTCGCAGTTTCCTACAGCGGTTTCTTCGTGTATGTTTATGCGACTGAAGACGCCAAAGCATGGGGAAAAAGTGCTTTGTGCCTCGGTGCAAATCGGGATATGACTCGTGCAACGAGAAAGTGTCTCTTTTTTCCGTGCCCAAGACGGAGGACCGCCTCGAGGTCTGGCGGCGCGCGATCGGGCGTAAAGATCGCGTGCTGCAGGCAACAGACTGTGTCTGCGAGAAACATTTCGAGGCAAAGTTCGTCTCGAAATTTTGGGAAGCGGTTTACAAGGGACACGTCCTGATGTCTTCGCCACGGAAGCCTTGTCTGGCGAGTGACGCGGTACCGACGAAGTTCCCGGGCTGCACGAATCCCAGTACCTCTAGCAACTCGAAGAAGAATGTGAAAACAAGGATGAGACCCGGGGACCGCCGGCGTCCCCCTGCTGCCACGCGGCGCCGTGTCACGAAGGGATATTCAAAGAACTCGCGTGCGCTCGTCAAGGGCAAATCTTTTTCAGATCCTTCACCGGCATGTAGCGTGGGCAACAAAAATGCAACCGCAAGTTGCGCCGAATCGGAGACGAAACTTCTCGAGGAAGTTCCTGGGAAGGCAGAGAGTGGACCAAACTGTCCTAAGGTTGAGGTCAACAGCTTGAGAACGGTTGGGTTCTGCGAGTTGCACCTGACTAGTACAGCAGCGACACTTCCAGATGCTGTCGGTAAGATAGGGGGCTTACAACTATACACGTCTTGCATGTGACATCAGTCCGCTCTTCTTTCTCGTAGCAAGAACCGTCTCAATGCAGCGTTGAGCTATGCTGTTACGCGCCCTTTCCGCCATTATGTTTGACCAATTAAGTGACGTCAGTGTATGTTATGTATACTCCATTCAGCACTAAGCTGAAAATGCAGTGGTAGCTATGTGCTCTTCGGACCAACCGACTTGATCAAGTGGTCTTGCACCATATGATCAAGCTCTCTGCACTTACCCACACATCAGACGATGAAAGACAAGCGTCTGGTTGGTTCAGTGAGTTTGTTGCTTCCACTGCCCCGTCAGCTTACTGGTGAACGGAATATGATGATGCGTGTCCCTTGAGCCATGTTGCAAAGAAAGTAATCTGCATTGACAAAAAATTGAATGTCATTATGACTGCTGGGTAAGCAAGCAATACCTGGATACTCTACACCACTGGCAATGTCAACTGTAGTGAAGGTTCTAAAAAAAATGAGACTGAAATTTTCTGTAATGGCAAAACGCAACTTTTGAGGAAGAGGAGGGGAGGGTATGCCCCTCCATACCCTCCTCTCCTGCTCCCGTCCCATATAGCGGGAAATTTTTGCTAAATTCCCCGCTAAATTTAGCAGGGAAATTTTTCTGCTAAATCTAGCGGGGAATTATTTCCGCTAAATTTAGCGGAGAAATTTTTCTGCTAATTTTAGTGGGTCAATATTTCTGCTGAGTTTAGCAGGGAATTTTTCCCTCTAAATTTAGCGGAAAATTTGTTTTACTAAAGTTAGTGGAAAAATTTTCTCGATAAATTTAGTGGCAAACTTCCCGCGCTAAGTGTAGTGGAAAAATTTTACCTTCGTGATGTCACACACCCATACCCATAATAGAATGTGCGGTTACGCCAACGGGGAAATTTTACCCTCGTGCCGTCACACGCCCATACCCATAAATGCAACGCGTGATTACGCCGACGACGACGCTCAAGCCGGAAACGGGCACCTGTATATGGATCAAACTAATACAGGCACCGATAGGCCAAGTGCTAAGGCATAGTCGGATGCTGATCTGGAACATGCTTTTATTGATGTTACCCGTCCCATGCATTGCCCAACAAGCAACAATCATTCCTTTATGCCCAACTGTGTTAAGCTCTTTATGTGCCGACAGGTCTGAATAAGCATTTGGCTTGCGTATTTCGAGCATAGAGCTCACCTGTAAGTCTGCTTTTCATTCTCTCTTACAGAGCGACATGAAGCACCCTCCATTTCAGCCTGCCAGGGTCGTCATTGTGAAGGCACTGATGGCCTGACCTTTTCCCATGGTCTTGTGAGCACGGACCTTGCAACCACCATTGTGGTGAAGACAGGCAAGCTCCACTTGCACCACCACTCTTCTCTAGCCGCCCTGTAGATTGGATGGTGGTGGTTAGCTGGGAAGCTAACCACCAAGTAAGAGGTCAAATTTGGAGTTTTACATGCACCAATGGTGTGCATCTGGCATGCCTCAGCAAAGGACTGAGGATTAATTTTAACCAACTAGGGATCTTTTCATGTGCAACCGAAAACATGGTTACACTGCACCTTCTCTGCAAGCCTCCGTCTGATAGCAGGCACCTCAACTGGGATTCGAACAGTGTGGTGTATTTAGCATTGCTTTTAGCTGGCTGTTAAGAGCATCTTTTTTTTTTTTTTTTTTTTTTGATTTTGGGATGTGCAGTTTTCCCCAAACTTAAAAGGCTATAAAAAAAAAAAAAATGTATCTGCCGGATTTTAATTTTAAAAACAATTACATCTGCATTTTATAAACCGTGTTTAAAAATCTTGTTTTTTAGACTTCTGAAACGACCATGCTGCCCTACGGCAGCATGAGCAACAAAACGTCACGGCATGTAAAGAGGTTGAACAGATATTCAGCTTTATTTAATCCTCAAGTAATAAACTGGGAGCGACAAAAACATTGAGATATTTATTGGCGTTCTTGTATTAGTTGGATGCCACTACATCACATGAATGTGGTACAGTTTCGATTTCAAACATATCTAGGTCTTCTGTCGTTTCGTAACCATCACCACTATGCTGTTTGTCCCGCCACGGCTCGCATCCGCTGTGGAAGGCAGTTTCGCTGTGGAATTCAGTTGTGGAACTTGATTGTGGATCGGAATTGTAATAAAACATAAAGTGAACCAATAGAAAGTTATAATTCCAAGGGGATTTGAACCCAGAACTTCCCAAAATCAATAACAAGGAAAAATGCACATGTGTGACCTCTTGACTATCAGCAAACTCGTTTTTGGCCATTTATTGTCACGGGTGTAGTCTCGTGACAAGTACACAAAATTGTGCACTAGTTTTCCCAAGACCGGCTTTATGGTCGTCTGTTTTCCATTAATTTTTCTTTACCACAGTCTTCCTCAGTGGTAACTTGACATCTCCTCAAGTACGTAAAGGTGATTCATTTTGGTTATATTTCCTCTTTTTTTCTGCGAGCAGATCACCAATTGTCTAGTCGAAGCAAGTATTCTCGACTCGTCATCTGACTATCGTATTGGGATGCGGCTCCACCATTTGAACTTGCACAAAATTTCCTCAAGCTCTCCTCTAGCACAACATATGGTAGTACAAACAACATACGGCGTCTGAGTACGGCTTGAAACCTAAAAGCCGACCGTGATGTAATAGTGAGGTCGGCCTTCTTACAAGCATCAGAGCATAATATCAGATGCCAGATGTCATTCATTGACTTCTGTGCATGACGTCATTATGGCGCTGCCGTTGGAGCGATATCCGACGCTCTCGCTTCGCCCATCAAGTCCTGTCTACGTCATTGTCTTGCACGGACAACAAAAGTTTCTTATTAGTTACCTATCGAGATGTATTTGTAGAACCAAAAAAAAAACTCCCCGGGAAACCGAAATTATATTTTTTTCACGCTAGTGAATGAATGTGTACGATCAAAGGAATGAATATGGGTTGTATAACGAAGGACAAGGATTCCAAGTAGACATATAACTTAGAAGTTTTGGAAAAAACGTTTCACGACCCTTTAATGTTGCAACGAAATTGCTTGTTTTTAAGCACTTGCAGTACTGTCCTTGCGGCTACTGATCAAACCATCTGGTGACGCTGAATCCCCAGTCATCATCCCACCTGAAGAAGGCGTTCCAGTTGGTCCGGTGTTCAATTTATTTTTGAGCAACCTGCAACAGCTCAATGTTCGAGAACCCGAGTGGCGGCGTTAAGTTTAGGAAGCACTGTATTTGCAATACATTATAAAATAAGAACTATCGGAACCCCCTCTTAACTTCCAGAACAGTACTTCGACAGATGTTGGCAGCATAATGTCATTGAACCATTCCCTAGGGTGACTTGTTGACTGCCCGTCATCTACAATACTTCTATTTCTTATCATATGAACCCTTTCTTGTTTTACACATGTTACTCTTTCTTAAGGTGTTTTTTTTATTTAACATTATTGCCAGTCACCTGTAAGTGGTAGCTAAGGGAAGGGTGAACACTGCTTCGCAGACTGTACAAGTAAACAAGGCAAAAAAAAAAAAATTGTTAGTATGGTTGTGGGCTGGAATTTCAGGGCTGTAGCCATTTGTTTTTCATTTTGACAATTAGTACAGCTCTGCTTCTGATCTGACTCGCTGCAACATTCCTGTGCTATCTCCTGAACAGAGCCCGTGAATGTGGTGGCTTTTCCAACGGGCGAAAACATGCACAGCGAGGACTTTAGCGACGTACCCACATCTCTGCACATGGAAGGAGCAATGGCTAAAACTTGTGCCGTGAAGAAAGGTACATCATGATCAACATCCACCAGCTTGCCTGCGCATTCACTGTCTTTTCAAAAAAATGTACACCTCATTGTTGAGCAAACACAGAAGGATCCTTCTTGTTTGAAGACAAGGTTAACAAACAGACGAGCTGGTTTAGGTTACACATAATTTGAACCAGAGACGAATGGATGAGAGAAAGGGGAAACACAGCTTTCCATGTTGAGACGTGTTGTGTGTGTCCCCTTGTTGTCATCCGTTCACTCCGATTTATATTATGTGTTGCTCTTCCTGTCATTGTCATGGCAGAGTTGGGCACGAGTTCCGAGTCTTGCCTAGCAAAAAACTGAGATGTAGATAAATTATTTTTGACCAAGACCCGTTAATAGTTGCCTCATTTCTCACTTACCTGTAACCCCAAACATGTGCTCTTATACAAATTCTGTGTTATCTTTGACAGAGTTAGACGATGTGCTTGGTGTTCCCTATGGCGAAGGCGCTTACTGTCTTTCCCCCTCTCGCAACCACCTGGAGCAAGGTGCAACATCGTTTATTGTGATAAAGAAAGGCATGTTCTCTTCACAACTCTTTTGTAAAAAATAGTTGATTGTTCATTGCATACCAAGTGCAGAAAAGGCAAACTGTCATTGAGTCAGAGCTGCAACTAAAACATTTCTGCCGAACTGCAGTGCAATCTGTCGGCAACAAATGGGATAGGGTGCCTTAGTGCTGCAAAGATTTCAACGGGGTCGTATTGTTTATGAGCCTATCAGCCAGAAAGAATGCATCGGGGAGGTTCTGCGGGGCATAGATCATGCGATGCCACGCTTAGTTTACATTTATTTTAAATAAGGACAAAATAGCCATGTGTCATATGTCTCACTAATACTTAAATATATGCCTTTTTGTGTCATTCTTATGGCTGACTCACATTATGGACAACCATTTTGGGGGGAACGGAGGTGGCCAGATCGGTGGGATGCATAACATGTAACCTTATCTCAGTCCCATCGAGCCAAATTAGCCAATGGCCACTAACTGTCCTTGGATCTACTGCTAGTAGCAAGCACCCTTCTAGCTAGGGTTTGTCTGCTATCGCTCTCGTCTTTACAGTGGTGTTGGAGCGCAGTGTCGCTGTGTTTTGAAAGATTAGGCCAAGCAATGGCAAGCAACTAGATTGATAAAAGGCAAGTCTTGAAGAGACGTGGTCAAGGCAAAGTTATTCCTCAGTTCTGATTGTTTTCTTCAACAGGTAAAGGAGAGATGTCTTCTGTTTTCTCTTGAACAGAGCCAGGGCAGTTCGCCGCTATTCAGACTGACGAGGGCTCATGCTCTGGGGCTTTTGGTTCCATATCATCGATGCAAGCGTGCATGGAGGGACACTGGGCGGACACACCTCTGCATATGATTGAAGGTTAGCTTTTGTACACTTCCATCTGTTGTGTGATTCCGTAGCTGGCTGCTAGTGCCCTCGTCTGTTCTGGGCTCCGACGGCTGCCAGGCGGAGCTGTAAGACAGGCAAGCATGCTGGAACAATAGAACAGTGGTTGCGCTCTAGCAATCACATGTTTTTGTAGAAGCTTGTTTTTGGTGGCATATTGTTTGTTGGGCTTTAGTCAATAAAACTGACCAGTTCTAGGTGGCAAGACCGTGTCCCCACCACCTGCATAAAATTTGACGTATGAAAATAGTTAATTGTGTGGAGATTTCAAACATTATTATTATTGCTCTTTTTAGTTGCAGTGCACATATTTTGACAGAAACTTCAAATCTCTGGATGTAGGAGACTTAATACAGCAATTATTCTTTGAAAATGTCGTCCCACGGCATCCCCTGGTGTCTGCTACAGGGTGCAGAAAGAGGGCATGTCAGAATCTTTGATTGGACTTTTAATAGAGAAATGGCCGCTTGTGAGTGCAATTTGGGGATTCTTAGGATGTTGTAGACAGAGTTATCACCATAAATAGATGATCTCAGGTTCCACTTGAGTGGCCCTTTAAGTTCCAAAGTGGTTCAGTTTATGGTTCAACAGTTCCTCTTCTGCAGAAAATTGAATGGTAGACACGTTATTCAGTTATTTACAAACAAGCAAACTGAGCTAAGTCGTACCGTATTTACTCGCACAATGAACGCACTCGCGCAATGAACGCACCCCCTAAGTCGGCTCTCAAAATTTCGACTTTTTTTTCACTCGCGTAATAAACGCACCCCCAACTCCAATGTAAAAATTTTGACCCCCTCCAAAAACGCGCGCGAAATGAACGCACTTTTCTGTCCTGGTGCAGCGAGGTCGCGAATGCATGGGCAGCGTGGGCGAATAAAACGCCGTGCAAAGGGCGTTAAAAAATTCGCAAAAATCCAACGGAAGCAAGTAAAAACAACATAAAGAGGAGCTTTTTTTTTTTTTCTTTTTTGCACAGCGCAGTTTGGATTTTGGGTTCGCGCGCCACCGCGCAAGGAGGTAAAAAAGAGAAGCGGAGAAGCGCTCTAAGCGAACGAAACAGCTTGCGAAAAGCGACAAAAAGAAAAGAAACACAAAACAAACCAAAAAAAAGTTTTTCTTTTTTTTTGCACAGCGCAGTTTGGTTGCGGGGAGTCGCGCGCCGCGCGCAAGGAGGTAAGAAAGAGGAGCGGAGAAGCCCTCTAAGCAAACGAAACAACTTGCGAAAGGTGGCAAAAAAAAAAAAAAAAAAAAAAAACCCCAAGGAATTGAGAAAAAAAAAACAAGAAAAAGAAGAGCTTTTTTCTTTTTCTTTTTTTTTTTTTTTCTTTTGCACAGCGCAGTTTGGTTAGGGGGGTCGTGCGCCGCGCGCAAGGAGATAAGCGGAGAGCCCTACCCTAAGCAACCCCTAAGCAAACAAAACAACTTGCCAAAGGCGGCAAAAAAAAACCCAAAAAACAAGAAACTAAGAGAAAAAATGTTTTTTTTTTCTTTTTGCACAGCTTAGTTTGTTTACGGGGTCGGGCGCCGCGCGCAAAGAGATAAGAAGTTCGATTTTTCAGGATAAAAGGTCCCAGTAAATAGGCAAAAATTTTACTTCACGTAATGAACCTCCCCCCAACTTTGCATCGATTTTTCGGAAAAAAAAGTGCGTTCATTCTGCGAGTAAATACGGCATATCCCTCGCTATTCCGAAAAAAGACTCCCAAGCAATATTCAGTCCTGCTGGTTTAAATTAGATTCGGCTGCAACCAATTCCTTAATCCAGCTTTAGCCGGACTGAATTTTGCTTAGGGCAACCATGTTTACAGATCTCTTCCTGACTACATCATGCTAGTTTTCACGAAAATGTAACAGCAATGACTTTTCTTCAGATGAGTAATTATTAGCCAGAGGAGAGTCCTTGAATTTAGTACTGGTCATGAAACTACTCAGCAACGCCATAAAAGAAATACGTGTGACGCTGCCGTTGACTAGGGGGCTAGGAGCGGCCAATGAAGCCAGCATTGCTGGGAGTTTGGTAACCAGGAAGTTTGTCGGAATTTCAAACCCCCTCTGAATGGGCCATTCATACCATAGATTGCGAGTACACGTCGTTGCACTGACAGTGTCTATCGTTAATGTGAGCGTCTTTGGCTCTGCACACTCAATCAACTGCTCAACCTTACGTATCTGCGTATTATCTTACGTATCTGCAACAATCCCCAAGATAATATAATTGTTATTTCTTTTTCTTTTTTCAAAACAACTTTTCAATGCCCCCTCACTGTCAAAACATTCAGCGCTGCGATTAACGCCATCTAGTAAAGGCACTGTGAACACGTACGCTTAATTGCCTGGTTCTTTTTTGCTTGCAAAATCTCTGTTTTGTTCGAAAACACACTAAAAAAAATCATACTTTCAAGCTTTCTTTTTAAAGATTAATAAACAATGATCGGTATTTGCACGCAGTGATCAATTACAGGCGTAATAATTTGTTGGTCTACTGGGAATATTTTTTTAAAACCACTTGTAATTGCGAATTCGGGGTGACTCGCTCGGGGTGGAGCTGCCAAACAAAAATGCCCTCTCCAGGACAGCAGCACTATTTGACCCTGTACCGAACTTTCGCTGAAGTTTCGGGACCTATAGTGTATTCAGAAATTCTGGTCGGAGCTAACGTCCTTAGACGATTAGTGCGGGGCTATCTACATCATTCCAGAAACTAGGACGTTTGTCTCGACCGAGAAAAAAAGGCAGTTCTGCGTCTAACCGCATGCACATCCATCTCTTTACCTTTCTGCAGCGGTCTGGTATGTGCTGTTTCACTCTGTATAGCTTTGTGCTGAACAGGCAGACACCTTTCTGTGTCCTAGACAGACCGCTGAATCAGCTACGATCAGGGTATCAGCATCACAGTCCCGCTGTTTTTGTGGGTGCCGCCATTTTAGTACCTAGTGCAGAGCAAGTGCAGTTGGTGATTGTTACGATTAGCAAATGTGACTTCTTGAACCCTAGAGACGGCGTCAGGAAACCGAGGCAAAATTGCTTTGCTTTGTCACGGACCGTTTTAACGCTTCCAGAGAACCGAAAGGGGTTTTCCGCAATTGCAGGTAAAGCTTTTGCCATATGGCAACAATGATTCTAAGGGCCAAGATGGCTGAAGCGTTCGTTACTCCGATGCGTCCCTCATTTAAAGGCTCTAGTCCGTTCGTGACCGACAGCACTTGTGGGACATTCTCTTCAACAGCGCCGGAGGAAATACTGCCCACTCCTACGGGCGGTAGCTTTCATTCCGAGGACCGTAGCAGACTGTCTTCCTCCCGGCCGAACTCGAAGGGACACCAGAATGGCACCTGTGCCCTGAAGGAAGGCAAGCTTGACATGCACTTGCAGCCCTACTTCTTTGACTTCTACGAGAGCCCTACCGGTGCCAACTTTGTGACTACAGTGCCTGGAATGTTTTTTCGACTCGTCATCGGGTGGAAATTGAGGGACCACTTTTGTGGACGTGGTGAACGGTCAGAGATGCACTTCAGGCACCATTCTCGCGACTGGCCCGGGCCTGCGCAGAGCATTAAGGTGAATGTTTTGTTTCTTCAGCAGAACAACTCGAGTCTGCTGCTCTTTGGACGGCTGAAGGCTCGTGCTCGGAAGACCTTGGTTGCAGGTCCACACTACAGGCACCCCTGTAGAGACCCTGGGAGAACAGACTTGTCCTCATCAAACGAGGCAAGCCTTACTGTGCGAGCTCATCTGTTCAACAAAGGCCGGTTCAAAGAACCCGAATGAACCCAAATTATTATTTTCGTGACGAAGAAAGAGCAAAGGATTTGTTTTCATCACGGTGCCTGAAACGTGTCTCTGATTGGTGAGCTCAGTGTCTTCTTTTGCCCATGCATTGAAACTGATTCCAAAGTGGCAAGGAACAGTGTCGAAAAAAGCCAGATTGTCGTATGCTTTTTGATGCCGCAATCGAGCTGGCGGTTGGGCTTAGAATTCCTAAAAAAAAAAGCACGAAAGATTGCGAGCGTCGCTGTCATTGCGGCGTCCCAAATCCTGGCTGTCAAAGCTTTCGTGGACTGCCAAGCCGGAGGGCGATTCGCAGTGGAACTTGCGTCTGCCACATATCCACCACCACTGCTGCGACACTGCCGGGATCACAGCAAGCGACAGCGCGACG